ACTGCCTCATGTTCTTTACATGCACTGAAATGTGTTCTAATTCAGGCAAAGATGCTATTTCACTCTTAACTCCTGTGTTTAAATCTACACCAGGCAGTTGGATGAATATATGCATCTTAAATAGATGTTTCTGCCTGGGGAATATTCCCTGCACAAGTATTAGCACTTCAGAACCTCATGTGGATTCAGAGCAATTTAATTTTCACAAAAAAGTATTAGTACCTTGGGACAGATACAGTTCTGCACTCACATTTTATGCTACCTAAATGTACTCTATGCATATTTTATCTGACCTTTGTAAAGGCTGAAAAACACATTCTCCACCATAAAACAAGAATAACTGTTAGACCACACCTTGCCTCCTGGGTACTTCAAATGTAGTTTCTAACAGGTCTTGACTCAGTGCACTTTACAGTGCAATTTAGGAAATCTAAGATTCTTTTAGCATACAAGGAAATAGATAATTTCCAGGATAATCCAGCTGAGCATTATCTGGCAGAAAAGTCAGAACCTTATGTAACTTGCTATCCTGTCCAACTCTCTTCAGAGTGGATATGAAACAAAAGCGCTGTCTAGCTCCTAGCCATTAAAACTCTACATTTTCAATATAAGATTTAAAGGTGTTTCAGTGAATACTAGGCTGTCTAAGACGGTTTATTTCTCTTCTGGAGAGTCAGATGAGTGATCATAGAAAAGACATATAAATTGCTTTCAAAGCAGTCAGCTACAGAAAATGGGTAGAGTTGTTATGACCTCTTAGCTAGCAAGAAGTGTCTGGCCTGTGGAGTTGTGTGTTCATAATAACAGTTAGAACCTCATAGAACCTCATTTCTCTTCGTAAAAAATCAAAGCATGCTGTAAGAATGTGGTCAGCTATTTGGTCACTTCTTTCTCATGTTCTCTCTGAGAAAATTGGTTATAACTCTATCACTATATCACTATCTCTATATTTTGTCAAATATTTGCCTTCAGATTTTGAGCTCCCTTTGGCTAAAGATATGACCCCTTTTGTGAATCTTCTGCCTGTTGTAGAGACATTTAAGATCATATTCTTTTTTCTTTACCTTGGATGCCATCACAAACAGAAAATGCTCATCAAAAATGTATTTTACTGTTTATTAGGAGAGCAAAACTATGGGGAGGGTATTGAGATGAGCACAGATATATATCCATTTGAAAAGTTAATCAGGTATCTGCCATCCTACTTCTTCATTTTTGGGACACAACTTTGCAGTTCTTACACCTTTAGGTTTCTAACACTTTGAGTGGTTTAGCACAGTTTGGGACCCCAAATGAGTTCACAATACATGTTTCTCTGTTTTCTGGATTATTTTTAGGCCACCTGTTATTTAATAATAAATTTCTCTTTAGATCCTAAATCCTGTGTAATGCTTACAGATATTGGTTCCTCTTTGACTATTTTATCTGTTGTTCTGCTGAAAAATGAAGCTAACACTGAGAGCAGATAATGACTGGTTTAAAGTGAGATTTAATCAGAGTTAACCTCAGTCAAGCAATGTTGATTTTTTAATCTTTGTTGTTAACACTCTATAGCAACAACAAAATGTTAGAGAGCAGTTCAGTTGGATTTGAGAGAAGTGAAGCAGCCTGAAGTAATTCTGTGTTTATGTGAGGAAATGGCCTAGTGCAGCAGTGCTGGTGTGATGTTCATCATCATTCATGAGCTGGGTGCTGTGTGCTGTCTAAATTATGTCTGGGCCAGGGAGGGATCTGGCCAGATCAGCGTACACAGGGTGGCTCTCCCAGCAATGTCCTGCCAGGGGTTAGTGTGCACCATCCTTTGGGAGGGTCTAGCTCATCCAGGAGAAACCTGGGCATGCAGGTGAAGACACTGTGCACCTCTGTAGGTCTTTTGCAAGATGTGGGTTGGGTTGTGGCTTGAAGGGCAGGAAGCCTCCACAGGGCAGGTACCTGGGGGCAAGGGTGGGCTGTGGCATGTACCTGCCAGCAGTGCCTAGGAAGTGAGCTCCTGGCCCTTCCTGACAGAGCAAATTGAGCACATGCTCTACCACAGTGACCTCCTGGCATGAGATATACTAATTTTCTTACCCTTCAGGACAGGGCTGCCAGACATCCAGACTGCTTTCTGGAAAAGGTCCCTTACTATCTCCTGAGCTGTGTGTGGGAATCCTTTTGGTGAGCTGGAGCACACCAATGCTTGGCAAGTGCTGTTCTAAGACATCAACATTAGGGCAATCAAGATCCAGTTTCTGGGGACGAATGCTATTTAATTTGCCAATGTGTAATATATGTTATTGAATATACTATGTACTATATTTACACTATTCACTGTATATTCTATATATAGTTTCTTAAATTAGGGCTATAGCAGAGTGACAAAAATGCTACAGTTCCAAACCAGTTAATTCTGCAATGCCCTTTGTAAGAAACTTTTGAGCCTCTTCATTTGCTGTTAACTTGTTATGTTATAGTAAGATGCTGTACCAGACTGTGATAGATGCATGAACTAAGTACATTCCAGTATAGAGGCATAATATGACTTAGGAAATTGTCCTGTACTGCAGTTTTATATAGCTTTTTGGCATTTTATTACACAAGTGTTAAATAGTGTGAAACTGGGACAGTAAAAATAATGTTCTGCTTTTAAAAATTCATAGCAAAGTGTTGTCAAGTCTGACATCTCTCAAAGAAGTCCAGGATCAGTTAAGCTTTATATAGCTCTGGGAACAGGTATTGTAATTTCTTTAAAAGCCTTCATGAAAACAAGCTGTTTAATAACATCCAGCCCAGAGAATGGTGATGAATGAGATTACATCCAGCTAGTGGCTAGTCACAAGTGGTGATCTCCAGTTCTCAGTGTTGGAGCAAGAACTGTTTGATATTGTTGTCAGTGAAGCGGATGAGGGGAGTGGGAGCAGCCTCAGTCAGTCTGCAGATGTCACCAAGTTGTGTGGGAGTGTTGATCTGCTGGAGGGTGGGAAGAGTCTGCAGAGGGATCTGGACAGTCTGGATCAATGGGCTGAGGCCAACTGTGTGAGGTTCAAGAAGGCAAAGTGATGAATCCTGTTGTTGGATGGAAACAACCCCAGACAGAGTGTCTGGAAAACTGCCTGGTGGAAAAGGACCTGGAGGTGCCGGTGACAGCAGCTGAACATGAGCCAGAGTGTGCCCAGGTGGCCAAGCAGGCCAAAGGCATCCTGGCCTGTGTCAGCAGTAGTGTGGCCAGCAGGAGCAGGGCAGGGATTGTCCCCCTGTACTGGGCACTGCTGAGGCCACACCTGGAGTGCTGTGTCCAGTTCTGGGACCCTCACTGTGAGAGACACTGAGGGGCTGGAGCGAGTCCAGGGAAGGGCAACAGAGCTGGGGAAGGGTCTGGGGCACGAGTCCTGTGAGGAGCAGCTGAGGGAGCTGGGGGTGTTTAGCCTGGAGAAGAAGAGGCTCAGGAGGACCTTGTTGTTCCTACAACTACCTCAAAGGAGGTTGTAGCCAGGTGAAGCCAGGCTCTTCTCACAAGTAACAAGTGACAGGACAAGAGGAAATAGCCTCAACTACAGCAGGGGAGGTTTAGTTTAGATATTAGGAAAAATTTCTTCACTGAAAGTGTTGTTAATCATTGGACCAGGCTGTTCAGGGAAGTGGTTGAGTCACCATTCCTGGAAGATTTCAAAAATCATGTAGCTCTGTCAGGAAGTCATGTTTTAATGGTTTAACATGATGGTAAATGATGGGTTGATAGCTGGACTTGATCAACTTAGAGGTCTTTTCCAAACTTATCAATTCTATGAAGTAAATTTTTTAAAATTGTTTTTCAGTCTCAGTGTGCCTCTCCAGACTGTACTAGGGTTTCCTACCCAACTGCAGGCTTTTTGGTTATGTAGTCTAGTCTTGAGACTTACCCTTATGTCTTTGATAATTCATTGTATGATAAACTTTGTAATTGATTTCTTGGTTTTGTGAAATATGTGGCTGAAGGATTGCCTCCAGGAGGAGCTGTTAGACCTGTAAATTTAGAGAGATAAATCAAAATTTGATGAAACTATCAAATATCAAGTCGTGCTTTAGCCATCACAGTACATGTAGTATCATTTTTATGATATGACACTGTCCAGAACATATGTACGAAGCCAACAATAAGTGTCTGATGTGTCTGTAACAGCTGCTACATACTCCAAATTTGGCATCCTGTTATCAATTTCCATAAAACACTCTTACATATTCCTTCTCCCACCTCTAGGATATATGACCTCTTAGAAGACAAGTGTAATCAGAATTTCATCACTTGGCAGATGCCAAGAAGACACAAATTGTTGTTCTGAGAGGAAACAAAATGAATGCATGCACAATATTGTATCTCATAATTGAAAATTTTTGAGCGGCCTCCATTAAATTTAATACTAAATATTATATATTTTCTGCTTTATAATTTTTTATACTGTCCTTGCATAATGAATCATTTTTCTCACCAAAAAATACAACAAACCAAGCCATGCATGCACATAAGCAATTTTGATCAGTGTTCCTGATTTTTTAATCATTTTCCTGGTCTGAGATGTGAGAGAGGCAAGAAATACTGCTGTCTGCCAGCTGGGAATAGCCATAGAAGGCAGAATTTTAGAAAGAATCACATATACTATTTTTCCATGTCTCTCCCCCAGAATATGGCAGAAGGGCAAGATGGATTAAGGAAAGCTACGCACAGAAAGGGAATAGCCAGACTGGCATTGTCCATCTGTCTCCTTTTGATCATTCTCTAAAGGCTGTTTCCAGTTTGCTCAAGTTAATGCAGCCTTCACACCAAGCTTGATAAAACTGCAGTTAAAAACAGTAGCGGTTTTCTGATTGTCTTTCATTGATGTCTTGCACTGTGCAGAAAGCAAAGAGCTTTCTACACTTTCCCTACTAGTAAAGAGCTTTATACACTTTCCTTAAGGTTGACACCATTTGGCTTGTAATATCAATCATTAAGAGAATTTTTACTTGCATGAAGAGGCATCTGGTTTTCTCCTCTCCCTTTTCAGAGCTGACTTTGATGATTCTGCAACCTATTCAGCAGTTGCAACAAACGTCCACGGTCAGGCATCAACTAATTGTGCTGTGATTGTGCGAAGTAAGTCCTACTTTATATAGTATATACAGTATATATATACTATATATATAGTATATATATAGTATATATATATAGTATAGTATAGTATATATATAGACAATAAATAAATATAATCCTCATGTCATTGAATGTTTCTTGTATGTTTATTCGTAGGGTTCAGAGAGGATGAAGAGCCTCACCCAGCTGCGATAATGCCCTTCCACTGTAAGCCTTTTTATCCTATTTGTTTAGATAATTTATGTCCTCTTGTCAGAGTAATGTTTTACAGATTAGAAAACTGGATACAGCTTGCTTCTTCTGACTTTGCTCTTTAATAGCTGAGTTATAGCAGGAGCTGTCCAGATGGTCTTGCTTTTCTGCTTGAATTTCTAGATCAGCATACAGTATAACAGAAAACTCCATCTCCTGCTCAGATCAGACACTTACCTGTGCCAAGTACAATTCACTTGTACTCAATAGTGCTTTCATTTTCTCATGCATAGTGCCCCTGTCATATGATGTTTGCTTCACCCACATTGATGTGCAGTTTCTGGAGAAGTTTGGAGTCACTTTTGCAACTGAAGGGGAGACACTGACCTTGAAGTGTTCTATGCTGATCACTCCAGAGTTGAAAAGACTAAGACCTCGTGCTGAGTGGTATAGAGATGGTAAGTTATTACATTGAATAGAATCTACCTGGAAAATGCTGGAGGAGACATTGAGGATACAGGTCAGGTTTAGAGCATCATATTCTCAGAAGTAAATCTGGAATAGAGAAAAAGAAGTATCTCTAGTTAGAGTTTGTAGTTCTGCACTCTCAATTAAGTGACTTGGTCAATGTTTTCTTGAGCACACATTAATAGCAGCAGGAGATAACCTAATATTGTGATAGCAAAAGAGTTAGAACATTTACTTGGAAGAGATACAAACCCAGTTCTTAGGTTTCACAATGACCCACAGTTGAATACTGTGACCACTGAGCTGAAGGGTACCCACAGGGCAGTAAATTAAAGTTTGAGGTACTGAGGTATGGGTGTGGGTCTCCACTTTAATCTTGCTCTAGCATTTATTGTGAATTTTATATTAAAATCACATGAATGTACACTTAGGTAATACTTCCAGAAGCCAGGCCTGATAAACATATGTTTGTTCTGCTGTTTATGTGCCATGTTAGTAGGTTTCTTACCTTTCCTCTTTCATCTATGAAAACCTGTTATGCCAGGTGAAGCAATCTTTACCATGAAATACTCAAAATAACATCACTAAACTTTCCATATACTGGGGTAGATAGTACAAAAAGCCTGGATGAGTAGTGTTTGTTCACTGCAGCAAAAAAGGGTTTTGAAACATAAAACTAGTTACTTAATGGATAGAAGCCTGTTGTAGATATTTAGCACACCACTTTTCACCAACCACAATTTGTGCAGGATTCTAAAGTAATTATTCTACCTGATGGTTAACCAAGGAAAGCCTTGGTTATTTTTGAATGGTTAGACCTTTCCACAAAGGGACCATGTTTGATGATGGTGGACTTCCAAGACTGATGTTTGGACTGGTCCCAAATAAAGTTGGCAGAAATTTCCATAGTGGAAAAAAATGTGATGAATAAACTAAGAAATCACAGTAAGATTAAAAAGGCAGTCAAGAAAATTCAAGAATAAGAAAATCAGAAAAAGAATGATTTTGTTACTGTGTGCTATGCCTTTGTTTAATGTATATTATAGTTTTACATAAATTCACATCTGATCCCTCAGGGAACAAACTACTACTTAATCTTTGATTCCTATTTTTCTATCTTTGTGGATAGAAAAATATCCTTGTGATGAACTATTAGATGTCACTAAAGTAAAAAAATATGAGATAATGAAAATGGCTTTTCCTGTCTCGTGAATAAGCAAAAATCTAAGACTGTTACTTGAATTCAGATTCTGTCCCCACAGGAATTTTGCTATACACTTCAGAATATTTAGTAACTAAAAATAATTGCTCACTTCATTCTCAGATGAACCATAATTTTCAAGGGTACCTTTACTTTGTCTCCTACTGGGCACACTTTCTCAAGATGCCAAATCTCTCAAATTCTAAGTTTGAGGTTGCAGCTAGGAAGAATTTCTAATTTTCAAGGACTGCACAATATTGTTCCACTTCTCATTGAACATGAATTTTTTTTGCACTATAGAAAAAAGTTCATGACCCTTTCTCTTTGTACCTTCATAATGACAATTCCTTCCTCATATGCAACAATATCTCTTTGTTTCCCCACTTGTTTAACTTAGTAAGTCCTTACTTGTGAATACCTGAGATGAAAGCTTGGTTTGTTTTAAGCCAATATGTTTTTGCTAGGGAGTCAGATAGGTGCTCATCCCATTATTCTACTTCTGTTAAGTGAAGTAGGATGTTATAAACAAGCTTAGATTAGTCCTTCATTACAAGTACACAGATCACAATATTTCCAAGAGATGTACAGGTACATTAGCTGGCAGAGCTTGTTCCCAAATGCAGCAGAAATTCATGCACTATGAACCTTTGTTATATGCTACAGTACCCTGTGTTGAGTTCCTTGAGATTTGGAGGCAATGCATAAATATAAGCAATGAGAAGTTAAAAATTTGTCATATGTCATGTGCTTTAGACATTCTGGTTCTTTAGAGAGATAATATTTAATTCTACTCTTGCATTAAGATTTTACTCTTTCTAAAATTTTTGAGTTGGTGTTAATCAAATAATAGCTACTAAAGCCCTGAGAAGGATATGTATGATTTACTTCTAATAATTATACACAGGAGAAGTATGTGTTTGTCTTGCATAAATAAGCTTAACACTAGTGAGCCTTACTGAGGGTGTCTAGTAGACTCCTAGGGGCATATAAGTCAGCTCAATCAAATCCTCTGAGCTGATTTGGGATTTCATGAACATGAATATGATGTCTATTATTCATGGCCCACTTAAAACAATTTAGGATAGTTAAAGAACCTTTCAAGATACTGAAGGAACAAAATGAAAAGAATACCTCAGGAATGTATATCTAAACTATATCTATGACTAATCTATGACATGACATAGATTAGCTGATAGCAGGAAGTTTCTGTTATTGATCTCTAATGTAATATAAACACTATAAAGCTATATGTACCAGCATTCTGCAACCATTTATGCGGTAATCTAGAATAAAATAATTGAATTCAGAAGGAAAAATCATGGAGTGAAGAATCTAGCTGAAATTTCAGCAGAACAACAAATACATGATGAAGTTTCAGTATATAGCAGTTCCCCACTCCTTGTATGAATTTTAATTAGAGTAATGTATTAGGAAAATTATGTTACATATTAAAAACAGCATGTGAGGCTTGAGACACACTGCCTCTAAGGGTTAGTCTCCTAAAAGTAAATTCTGGGAGAAATAACAGAGCACAACACATGAATAGACTGTGAATAGTGAGAACTTGTAATTGTAATATTATTGTGGTGGTAGGTTTATGAATACTTGTTCTATTAGAACTTTTAAATACGTTTGATGCCTCAAAACTTTATTCTAATTGTCTTGCTACAAAGTCACTCATCCAAACTGCATTAAAAAAAAGTGGGCTTCTGATGATTTCTGTTGGATTTTTGGCCTTGTGTGGGGGAGAGAAGGCTTTCTGCTCTTACTAAACACAGCTGCCTCCTCAATTTCTGCTGGTGGGTACACATAAAGAATGGAAATGGGTGATTCTGGCCTTAGTAGCATTACAGGCTTGCCTATAATTTCTATATATTCAAACTATGGTGGCTATGAATCCAATAAAGCTTGCAGTCTAAATACGTGACCAGCTTTTCAGAGATGCCGGTTAATCAACTTTTTTTTGCTTAGGATTTTCCACAGGGCTTATGTACTGGCTACAGTTTCTAGGTAAAGATGTTTTCTGATTTAATTTAAAGTACATCATGTCTCTCTACACAAAGTACCATTGTGATAGGCATGACAGAAAGGGGACACTCAGGTTTTCTAGGTAAGGAGCTCATGACTAAGGATCTCTTGGGAAGGAATGTGATTAAATTTAGTTTGTTTGCTTCTCATAAAACTACTACATGCTTAGCTGGTTTTGGAATTAACTGCTGTAAGATTTAGTAGCCTGTGTCTTCCACATACTCTATTATCTGAATGTGTGTCATGTTTTATACCTTCTTATGCAACTCAGCTGGTATGTGAGAGCACTGATTTCTTTGCAAATGTTTGAGTACCAGCTCCAAAATCTATCTAAGCAATAGAATAATATACATTCATAGGTATTCAGATCTTTTATATCGGGTTCTGCTGCACTGATTACAATAAATTTGTATGTGATTTGCCTTAGGGAGTTAAAAATCAAAAATAATCCAATCAGCTATTTAAGAGGATGATATGAGAAAGTCCCTTGCCTAGCATAAAATATCCTGTTCATTCTTTTGCTCTCGTTTCTCTAGGCAGTCAGATTAATGTGCTTTAATCATGGGTCACCACCTCTCACCTTTGAGCATTGAATTTAATTCAATGCTCAACAGGCATGCCTTGAACATTTAAGTTTGGTGTGTATTTATAGCATTTTTCAGACTAAGCTGAAACCTATTTTTTAAAATTTGGAATTAAAAATTGAGTAAACTGACATTTGACCTGAACAGGAAGCAAAACTTATTAAATATGAGACAAGATTCCACCCTGCATTCATTATAGGGTATGACAGATTTTCATGTCAATATTTCTAAATGTGGGTAACATTTTGTCTCTCAGTGTATTAAAAATTATAGCGATAGGAATTTTGTTGTTAGCACTGCATAACATAGTACTAGACCTCATGTTCTCTAAAATTCATTGATCAAATAATTTTAGAGAAATGCAACTTACAGTCTGTAGAGTTTTCATAGCATCAAAGCACTGTCATTCTGAATATAACTGGCATAAATATTAGTTTGTGTCCCAGGTTAGCAGAGAAGTGCACTAGGTGCAGGTTATTCTAGCAGCACTGTAATGTGTCTGATGGGTCTTCTCTTCCAGATGTGCTGATAAAGGACTCCAAGTGGACAAAGCTGTATTTTGGAGAAGGCCAGGCAGCTCTTTCCTTTAGTCATCTGAACAAAGACGATGAAGGTTTATACACCCTGCGCATGGTTTCAAGAGGTGGAATCAGTGAATGCAGTGCATACCTGTTTGTAAGAGGTAAGCTTTTAATCTGGTTCTTCAGGAGAAATTAAAAAACATTATGAAGTTTAGTTTTATGAAAAAATCACATGTAATAACTGAAGTATGAAATTCATAGTCTGTGGAATTTCATAGTCATTTGATTTGTACATAGTAGTCTGTACTAAAAAATCAGTCACCTTACCTGAATGGGGAGCTTCAGAGGAGCATGCTCCTGAGGACATTTTGTTTCCTGAAGAACCAGAGAAACCGTGCTTGGGAAGAAACAACTTGTTTCTTTCTTTCTCATCTCCTTTTCTGGTAGGAAATAAACATCTTTGCATATAATTGGTTCTCACTGTGATGGTTTTGGCTTTAGAGATTGGAAACTGGGAATGAGCCTTGTTGGGCAGTCTTGAATCTTGTGCCTGGTCTTAGGGATACATGCAGGAGAAAGCAAAATAAATATTCCTACTACTATACCTGTCACAGTAATATCATTAACCAGAGAAAAGAAGCAAAGTAAGAAACTAGCTGACTGAAGAAACAGAGTTTTCACAAGAGATATAGATAAAAGGAGGTAAATGTATTAAAATAGAATAAAGGTCAGAGCTTTTCATCACATTTCCAAGCACAGCTCTCAGTGAAGTAAAAATGAGATTTTGCACGTACCTGCGAGCAGGACTTAGTATTCAGTTTTATATTTTTTTCATTGAAAGGTAAAAATATTTCTGGTTAAGCAGTTCTTTCACTCTCTTAAACACATTGGACAACATCCTTGATGTGGTCAAACTGGAACAGCCCCACTGAGGCCACTGTAGCTGTATTAATTTTAAACCTTGTTCTTGAAAACATATTGGAGCATATGTGCCTTGTGGGAGTGTCATCCAGACAGTTTGTGTGGCGTAGAGGGATTGAATGTCTTTTCAGGGGTTTGAAATCCAGCTTCCTCACAGAACTAGTGCATGGGCTTCATCAGCTTTGCAGTGTCTCGAACAAGTCACTCTGGCACCCTGTTCTCATGAGAAATAATTTGCTAAAGTTATTTATGTCAAGGTTACATTCCAAGAAAGACATTATTCAGGTGAAAAACGCCCATTAATATATAAAAACTTTCCTACAGGTTTTTTTTGTAGTGATGGGTAAATTTCAGGTATCTCTCTTGTCTATTTTATATTACATTTGATCCCTTTGCATGCCCAGGACCCTGGCTATGTGCTCTGGAGTCTCTACTGCTGTCTGTTGGCCATTCTCTTGCCTTTCTTCATGGAGGCTGTGATCTGTTACTGACCTCAATCTACCTTATAGCTCCTTTGAAGGGAGAGAACTTTACCTGTTACAAGATTTCTTTAGGAATTTTGGGTCCAGATTAGTCAATATCTCTCAAAATGAAGCCACAAATGAGTATCTTAAAGGTGGTATACAAGACTATAAATGAAACATAGCATTATGAATCTTCCAGGAGTTTGCAAATTTTTTATTGTTTAAGAGATTTGTTTTCCTGATCTACATGTTTTTCACTGAGTACCTTGGTCTGATTGGTAACACACTGAGACACAGCTTTCAGTGTGACAGAGCATCAAAAACACATGAGTAGGTTAGGCTTTTAATTTTCATGAAAGATAATAGGTGTTTGGTTCCTAAAAAGCTCTCCTGTTCTCAAAAATATCCTTGAACATTTTTTCTGTATACAAATGTAGACATTATGGTCCTGAACCATTATTGCAATGAATTAGTATGCCATGAAATGTTTGGGCTTCCATTTACATAAACAAGTAGCACAATGAACTAGAAGTCTTCCCTTTGACTTTTTGATGTATGTCAGAAAAGTTGGGGGAAAAACCAATTTATTTTTGTTTGTGGTCCAGATGCTGATGCATTGATCGCAGGAGCACCAGGGGCACCAATGGATGTTAAATGCCACGATGCTAACAGAGACTATGTTATTGTTACCTGGAAACCACCGAATACTACCAGTGAGAGCCCTGTTATCGGATATTTTGTGGACAAGTATGTACACATTAACATTTATTTAATTTTTTTAATCTCCAGAAATATGTATATACTGAAGAGGAAGAAATATCATTATATCCTTTCAGTGTGTGTGTTCCTTGGATATATTTTTTCAGACACTTGGCACTGCAGCTCACTTACACACTGTGTTAAGTTACTAGATTGTTCCCTGGCAAACTTTTGGCCCAGATGATTTAGTACTTTCACAGGCAATTCTGGGCACAGTCTGGGAATTAGCAGGGGCTGGAGGCCATTCCAAGTAATATTTGCAGGCAGACACATTTTATCATACACTTAAAAAGTTCAATAGTATGGATGTGGGCACATCAGAGAATGAGCTTTGACAGTATTTAATTTATAAAAGCTAGATCCATGGGCATCTTGAATGAGATTTAGTCTCTTTAATCTCTATACTGCAAAGGCTGAAACCTAGGAGTTATTACATTATCTTTTTATTTCTTTCTTAAATGTAGTACATCAGGAGCTCAAGGCCTGGACTCCACGGAGCTGGCAGTTTAAATCAGACTGGCAGGCCTCTGTCCTTCAGTGAGCTTTGCACTTTGCTGGAGTCCCAGCTCAGTGCAGGCAGCTGGTGAGCAGGGAATCCTGCAAGCACTGTTTTGCTCTTCCACTGAAGTGAATTCTTACTCCTTGTAGCCAGCGCAGGTTGTCTGATCCTTAGTGTCTGAAACTGTCTGTCAGCAAAGCCTTACTGAAATGATTTCATAATGTATACTGCTCTGCACTTAAAAGCAACATTTGCAGCTCGTTGCTGTTTGCTACCCTGTCATTTGGTCTAATTCAATGACAACTGTCTGGGAATAACTAGAAAATAGTGGTTTATGAATGGCAGTCAGTATGAGGAAATTAACTTGAGACCTGGGGACTCTTACCATCTATATCCAATTTATGCAGGGCATAGATCACAGGAGTATTTCACCTATATTGTGTATAATCTAGTCAGATGTGCGTCAGTGTGTGTCACTTGTATCACTGCAGTGCCAAGGAGCCCTTGATCATGCCACAATTTTTTTCTGGTACAGTCAGGGCAAAAGAGTCTTCTACACAAAAGTTTATAGTAGTAAGACACAAACTATGTATGTACACACAAAACAGTATGTATGGGGACATCACTTCTTGATTACTTCTATACTCTGTGGCTCAGCCATTTTGGGAGGGAAAGGCACAGAGAAGTTTACTTGGAAATATGAAAAGGAAGAAATGAAAATGATTAGGCGAATCTTGCAAATTCATCATGTTCTGTGGAGATGAATATTAAAAATGAAAGTGAATAATTTATTCTTTACATGGCAAAGAAGAGAACCAAAGAGAAGGGAAGCAGAGAGATTTGAAAAGGCCAAGAACCATGGAAAAAAATGACCTTTACATTATGAAAAACATAGGAAACGGAGTGGGAATTGGATCTCTCAACAGAGGAGAGTGTGTAAAGTGTGTGACTTTCATTAATGAGATGTATGGTTTAGCATCTCAGCCTAGCGAAGGGGGCTTCTGTGATTCTGACCTGGTATGGGTAGCATGGGGCATATTTATTGTGAGATGATATTGACAAATGCTGTCTTCTGATATTCCAAGATGTGAAGTAGGTTTGGAAAACTGGGTGCAGTGCAATGATGCCCCTGTAAAAGTCTGCAAGTATCCTGTGACTGGTCTTCAAGAGGGACGGTCTTACATATTCCGTGTGAGAGCAGTGAACAGTGCTGGCATTAGCCGGCCTTCTCGAGCCTCGGAACCAGTTGCAGCACTTGACCCCCTTGACCTGGAGAGAACACAAAGTAGGTTATTCAAAGCTTCTTTGTTTTCAATAAAATGTTTAAGATTCTGTTTGCCCGGTTAACCTAAGGAGTGGAGTTTATTTATTCCTTTGATTGAGTATCTCACTACAGACTGCAAAGCAGCGTTTGGAGAGCTTCTCCATGAATAGAGTAAGCTGGCTTGCTCTGGGGAGTAGTTGCATTGATTTAGCCTTGTCCTAAACCCCTGTGCAGATTCTGTATATCATGTGCATGCACACCTTCTGTTTCGTGTCCTCCTTTTAGTCAGAGGGGAATTAAAGTAATTATGAATACCTTAAAGCACTGCCCCAGTGTTGCCTGTGAAATCTGAGCTGAATATGCAGTTTCCTTTACTCATGTTCTATGTATGTGTGTATGCTTTATGACTAATTTCTATAACAAAAGTACAGTTCATGATACAATTGATTACTAATCTGCCTCAAAATCAAATGTGTGACCATGACTCTTCCCTTTTAGCACATCTTTGAATAGTACTGTCTTATCATACCCTGTTTTCCTATGAAAGTGATTAAGCAATATATGACCTCAAGGTGACTCTATCTGGGGAAAAGTTTAATAACAACATTGTAGAATAAGAGGTATCCAGGCTTTTGAACAGATAATAATTTCACAATATTTGAGCAATAATTTGAAAAATTTGTACATATAATGAACTAGTTTGAGAAGCTAATTGAATATTTTGATCAACAGCTGTTCATGTGGATGAAGGGCGAAAGATTGTGATCAGTAAGGATGACCTTGAAGGTATGTAACATTTCTACAATTTCAGTCCATCTGCTCATACTCCAGGAATTTCACATCATAATTAGAAACATAACTTGAAAAGCAATCCATCTAGTGATAAACTCTCTATATTAAGAAATAAAGACACATTATGACTTGCAAGATTGAGAGAACACAAGTGAACAGTGAGGTCTAAAAAAAAGGAGAACATCACACTCTCAACAGCAAAACTTTTATGATATGTCGACAGCATTTTCTCACCTTTTTGCCTTCACTAGTGCTAAGCTGAGTTAAATGGCTGAACATTTAATTGCCCATTTGATTGGGCATTTGATTGCCCATATTTCCACTCTTTCTAGCTTTCTGGGAGCTGAGTGTAGTTTTCTTAGATTGATTTTGAGTACCTGAGGAAGTTATTGCCATTCTCATAAAAAGCTTACACAATCCATTTCAATTCTTTAATTACTATATCTACCTGAATATAGGGGTTATTCTTAAGGTTAATGTTATAGACTAAGTAATGTTTTTCCTCAGGAGAATTGGAGAGATCCCTGACAACTTTTGAGATAAAGCTTGAAATTTTTCTGGTTTTGGTTGTTTCTCTATGGAATGATTTGGTTTTTAGACTTGAATAATGACCTTCTTTACACTTAAATTGCTAAAATTATTAACTATAATGGCACAAAATTTTTAAAAAAGTGTCTGTCTCTCTCACAAAGGTTATAAACTTGTAACTCCAAAAATGACACTGTCAAAGAGAAATTACCTGAGAACAGATGTAGTTTGAAGGAGAATCAGACATTAAATGTCTTTCCCAGTGCATGGACAGGACAGATGAAGTTTCTCTATTTTTATAATAGTACTCTAAATGAATTGGTATGGGTATTAAAAGATCAGAGGCACATTACAATATCAGATTGTAATTGTCTTGTTTGGCTTCACAGACCATTCTTCTGCTCTCAGGATTGCCTTAGAATGACCAGGTCCAGGAAATGGCCACTTTGGAATAGTCATAAAAAATGATATTTCAATTTCTGTCACATGAATGTGCATATTTAATACAGTATGAATATTCAAATCTCACTCTTTTTGTAGATTGCTACTTTCATCTGCAAGATTGGAGACTATTTCTGAAAGAGCAATCTCACAGGTCACAAATGGTTTTCCTTTTTAGTGCAGGCTGTTGTCCCATTCTGGCAACCATCCTGTACCAGCATGTTATATCATTACAAAGTATGAAAGCTTTGTTTTTTTAAGAATGAAAGAAAACATTTTGAGATATTGTTACCTGAAATCAGTTGGAAGCCTTTTGTCTTAGTGCTGTGAAGGAATATTGTAATTTTCTTGACTATACGTCATCAATTTCATCTTAAACTCAGCTGATTCATGTCCCTTTCTGAAAGAAGAAATACAGTTGTGGGAGATCAAATATAGAAAGCATTGTGAGAAATAAATTTTCATTGGATATATCAGTTTTCTTTAAAAAAGGTTTGGTTTTGATGTGGTAAATATATATGATGAAATAATATCAATGTACATTTTGAGCCCGGTTTGTTCTACAGTTATGTATAATCATTTAAAATATCACTGCCATGATTTAGAGATTATTACTGAAATGCTTTTCTCTTTTTTAAAGGCAAATCTTAAACATTTAGAGGATATATGCTCTTTTCTTAGCCTGAGAAGTGGAAAAATTTACCTTCAAAGAACAAAGATTTTTTCCTTTTTCTATCACAAGCCATAAAGATAAAATTTTTAGGTGTCTGCTGAATTGCTATTTCTGACCAATCACCAAGTCAAAGCTCCTTCAGGGCTGTGTAGCTGTGCCTGTGTAGAGGTCCATCACAGGTCGATCACAACTCACTCTCCCATCTAGTGCTGTTTTACCCCATTGTAAAGCAGAACCAGCTTTTTCTCATGTTGGGCTCAGTGAGCAGGACCATGAAAGACTGAGCTGAATTCTAACCTGGCCCAGGCTAGGCAGGTTGTCTCTAACACTGCTGGTAACTCTGCAAAAAGAGTGGGGAGAGTGATCAGGCCACACTGTGTGGTGGAGCCATCAGAGGGCTGGTGACGTATTTTTATGTCTCTGATTCATAGATTTTATAAGTGCTTCAGACTATATAGATGCTAATATCGTCATGTTATAGGACATACTGCTATTAGGTTTTCCTTTTCCTGCTTTCCTCTTTGTTTTAAAGGTACTTTTCTGATTGTACTTCCCTTCCAGCTATTTTCTTTATTCTAATTTCTCATAATAACTCTTTAGAGTTCTGACTTTGATCAAAAAATATTTGCATATAGTAAGCAGGTTTTTTACTAGCAGATTGAAGTAATTCTAATGTGATCAAAGGAAAAAGTGTGACAAATACGCAGAGTTTCAGGGAGCAAATTTAACCTTTACTGAAACAGTAAGTAACTAGCTGTCAATACTGAAGTTTTATTTATCAAAATTGAATTGAAGTGATCAGGTGAACTGCACAGATGATATCACAGCCCCTAATAGATGAGCATTGCAGTGCAGGGTGGAAAGGTTGAATCAGAAAGATGAGCTGTCACACGAATGCTGACCCAGGAGTTAACCTGCTTTTTAACGCTTGCTACATTTATTAATCTTACAGGGGATGTTCAGATTCCAGGCCCTCCCACCAATGTACATGCTTCAGAAATCAGCAAAACGTATGTTGTACTCAGCTGGGATCCACCCGTTCCCCGTGGCAGGGAGCCACTGACGTATTTCATTGAGAAGGTACTGCACCTTATAGTGGTGTTCTGTTAAAAGGTCCTTCATTGCTGTGTGCAATTACATTCAACCCATTTTCAGAACTGCAGAATGAGCAATAAAACTAACACTTTCTGTGGTCTTGCAGGATTTGAAAGTGGGGTATTAGAGAAGCATGGATAATCAAATGTCTTATTGCAAGTTTTAATGAGCATTGAAATTCAAGGTCCAGAGAAAAGGATTTCCCTATGCTATTTGCTTACTGCTGTCTAAATGGGAACAAATTATTATGTAAAGTATAAGTGTAAAAAAAAAGAAAAGAAGCATCTATAGTTTTCACAGTCCTACAGGCGGAAGTTTTCAGTGTCTCTGTTAAAGGGAAATTTCTGCTTGTCCTGCAGTAGAGCAAGGAATAAACAGTAACTCATAATTTGATCCTGGCTTTAGCAGGCTTACGGCAGCCTCTACTATACACTGACATTTCCAATTTATCCTCTGTAAGGTCAGCAAGGAGGCAGATGCCTGTCTCAGGTTCACTGGTCCCTGGTACTCTTCATGGCTGCCTCTTTGAATTGAAAGGGGACTTCAGTGTTCACAATACATGAGGTTGGTTCTTCATCCACCTAACTGAATAAAATTTATATAAATCTGTCCCTGAGGCATGTTTCTAAATTATGTTGGATTACATCAACTTGTTACAAAGTTCTCCCGATAGGTAAAATGGGCCTCATACCTGACCTCGAAAACACAGGTCAAGCTATACTTAGTTTTTATGAATTATGCCTCTAGCATATGCACCCTCTTAACAATCCACAAACACTAAACCTCTTCATAAAACTGCCACACGTTCAATTTGCACCATGAATCTTTTAACAGCCCTTACTATACAAGTTGTTTTCTTCTCACATCTAAAATACTGCACATTCCTCCACAGTTCATTTCCTACCCATCCTATTGATGTCACTCTTCTTTTTGCAGCCCTCACAGGTTGTCTTTTCCCTCTCAGACACGCAAGAACTCTCCACTTCCAAAGGAATCCATAGGCCTTTAATTTCATTCCTCATCCATTCCTTGCTGGATGTTGAACAAATCGATGTAAAGGGAACACCACTCACTGGTTAAATTTTCCAGCAAGCATGACCATTTCTCCCTCTCTGCTTATACATTTCATAGAAGTCATGAAAGTTTTTGTCGGGATAATTGTCTAGTTTTTCCTTCTATGCAATAAAATAGAATGTTTTTCTTGCATTTATTCCCAGTTACACATGTCTTTGCTTATCTATAAATTTCAAGAATATTGCTGTAAGGATTTTGAACTGGCTCATGTCATGGAAATAATTTATTAGTTCCAGAATAAGCAGAAATAGCCCAGATAAAAAGCTCAGAGGTAGATTTCCATTGAGTGGAAATTACCTACACTTGGTTAGCTGAATTTCATTCTAAGAATGAATTGGAAAATATACATTATCTGCTTTTTACAAATAAATTTATGTAGCTATAGAGTATAGAGCGGTGAAAATGTTGAACAAAAAAGTCTCAAACCCTACACTCACTGAAGGAAAGGGAGAATGAAGACTAAATGGCTATTATTAGAAAAAAAGAGGTTCATTGTACTAATTAACACCTGAATCTAAATTCTTTGCATGGATAACTAATATATATGAACAGCTTATTTAGTTCATAGGTGAATGTTTGTTCTTTGCTTTCTACTGTCATCTCATAATTTAGAACAGTTTCTAATTATTTTATTTCAAATAAAGAAGATTCAGCCCTGAAGAATAAAAATGTATTTGTAAAGCCTTCAAGAGACACAAAATGGAAATGAGTTTTCTATATTCTCTTGAAATGCTTTTTTAACACATAAATCAAACCTCAGAACAAAATGTGATGCTGATTCTTTGTGAATAGAAGAAATTAATGTTTTTCATGGCACAAAGTAAAATATATGGCAAAATAACATTTTTTTCATATTTTATAGCTTTTTTTAATGAGGAAAATTGATGTAATATTTCTTTTTTCTGTTGAGATCACTAGGTGGGTTCAGTACAATTGAGAAAGATTTTGATATATGGATTCCAGCTGTTTACATTATTATTATCATTTGTCTATTGTAGGTGTCATTATATACAGGGCATTTTCCAAGCACCCAGGAAACGCTGTTCCTCCTCTAAGAAATTCACAGTCTGTCAGATTTTGTTCCCAGAATATCTGTTCCAAAATTTTATAAACACATAATTTGTATGCACTTATGTGCCAAGGAAATTTTCTTCAATCTGTTTATTAGGCACTTAGGTTTTCCTAAAATTTCTGAGGGATTCCATGACTAATTTTTGGTTAGAGTAAACGGTTTATGTGGGAAATCTAATGGACAGCACACTTGTCTCAGAGTGCTGATTTTCTGGCTCTCCTCCATGTGCAGTTACGGTGATGATAAGCTCAGCTGCTGCACTGAGAATACTCAAAAGTAATTACTTCATTTGATGAATGCTTTTAGAGGACATGACATTACTCAATAGAATAAATAAAGATAAAGTTGTGAGTAAAGTAACATTTCCCTCCCTACTTTTCTGCAGAATTTGGATTAGGGCTTGTTTGCTTGACTCCAAACATGTGTTCACATGAGTTTTGCAGGACATGAAAATGATTCTTTTGGGACCAGTCACAGTAGACAGTCAGAGACCTAAAAGAAAGCTGGCTGTATGTACAAGTGTGCATGTATTGAAGTCGAGACATACAAGGAGACAGTGAGCTATTCAGACCTTTTTGTAGAGTAATGGAATGCACGAGCTACGAGAATTTGCATATGTTTAAGTCAGGCATTTGAGAGTGATCCTTCTCTCATAGCTCTTAAATAAATTCATGACAAGATGCAATATGCCAATATGTTCATATTTTGACAGTTCACAGAAATGATTCATGGCTTTTTTTTTGTTGTTTTTTGTAGTCCATGGTTGGCAGTGGAAGCTGGCAAAGAGTCAATGCACAGGTTGCAGTAAAATCTCCTCGCTATGCAGTGTTTGACCTTGCAGAAGGAAAACCATATGTTTTCCGAGTGTTGTCAGCAAACAAAAATGGTATCAGTGATCCATCTGAAATCACAGAACCTATTCAACCACAAGATACTATTGGTAAGGTATTAATTGTAAGACATTAATATTAAAAACAATAGGTATTTTACTGTAAAAAGACAACTCTCATTAGAATAGTATAACTGCAAAATAGTACTCTATTTGTGTTCAGTTCTGTGAAGGGTTTAAAAAAGACCAAGATGCTAAATTTTAGAGACTTTCCAGAATTTTCCTAGTGATCACACACCTCGCTACTGAAAACAATAATCAGTATAAATTATTTTTAGTTATTCACTCTTCAGTGTTCTATTAAAGTGACGTCAAGAAATAGGTTAATCACTAACTTTGATAATTATATTTTCTAGCTCAGGTAATTATATGCTACCTAATTCCCTACAGTTTCAGCTAGATAAGGTAGCCTTTCATTTCTTTCTTAGTATTCTGAGTTGCAAATTACTGCTGCTGCACTATTCCTGTGTCATACAGATGAGTAGACTTCAGGGAAAGGGGAAGATACAACTACACATTCAGTGGTGATTTTCCAAATGAAAATGAAGTGTTTATCTTGGGGTCACATTCAAAAACACAAATGAAAATTTAGGGAGTAGTTATTCATCTTGTTTTTGAAATATATATTTCCTTTTTGCAGTTTTGCAGAAACCACACATAACAGCTAGATGTTTTGATAATTGTCACCTTAAGTGCACATATCTTACCAGCACACTTTCTAGTAATACACAAAATATATATCTTTTATCTGATATACCATGGTTAAAAAATATATTCCATACTTTCAGCTTGATCTGTAACTACATGATAAATAAAAGCATCTTTTGCTTTCATATATTCTTGATTTGATGTCTCATTAATGCATATAAATTATTTAAAGCATTCAATATTCCCCAAGGTAGGGAAGAAAAATACTGCATTTATTGCACTTAGTACAGAAAATAAGCTATCCCTTAGGGGTTAACATAACACCTTCTGCATAACTCACAGCTTTAAATAAAACACAAAGCAGAAGAATTTATTTTAAAGAGAAACTTCAGCAGTATTTTCATACACAGAGTTTGCCACCTGAGCTAAAATATATCAGAAACACATTTTTTTTGTTGTCTGCACTTAGTGTCATTTGATATTCTTAAGGAGGACTGAGACACCTTCATGGGGACTGCAATCATTACACAGAAATTATGGGTACCTTATGAGCAGAAACTAAAGAATAGTTGGGGTATCCTAGGCCATCCTAAATGACACTTAACATGATAAAGTTTAATTAAGTGGTACAAGAGTATTCAGTTTGAGATTAAAATCTAAATAGAGGTGTTTCCATGTAGGTATGCACACGTGCAGTAGATACCTCTGCTCTGACTGTGGCAATTGGAGCCTGGAAGATAAGTTGGCTGATGTTGTCATAAGTTGCCCCATGTTACCCAGCTGTACAGTGTCTCTTTTGGGGTGAGATGGATAAGTTTTCAGGACCCTATTGATCTCTGATGGAAGGCTCAGTTAAACTGGCCAAAGAGACATCCTTCTCAAATGCTTTCAGTTTGCCATTTCAGAGGACTGTAGGTACTATCTCCCTAGTCATATCTGACAGCTCCATGAAGAAATGACAAATGGTCCAAAATGGCCCTAAATTAAATTATTTGTGTAACTGAGTGAAGGCCTAGCCCTTTGACTGTAGCAGCAGCTCAGGAATATGCGGTTGTAGACATACAAGAAAGCCTAAATGTAGATTTAAATGTAAATTTATCAGACTGAATCATTTGATCTTACAAATTTATTGCATAAAGTATAGTAGTGTGTAAGTATTATTTTTTATTTTAATATTGAAAGACTAAGTGGAAAACATGCTGCCTTTTGTTTCATGCTGCTTGCAGCTCTCTGCAATATCAATCTGAGGAAACTAAAATATCTTCAAAAGGCAAGTACTGGGTGCCTCTCTTAACCTGCCATTTTAGGCTGAGACATTGCTTTAATTTCTTACATTATGAAAACTCAGATATTTTATAGTGTACAGACTATGTGCTGGTTCTTACTAAGATTTTTTTTTTTCCATTTGGATCTCAATATTTCTGGTTCTATTTATGCACATTCATTTGTTTAGATTGATGCAAACCAACAACAAAATTTCTTTGCATGTAAAGTAAACTGCATACCACGGTACATTGGGAGAACTGTAGTCAACAGATTGAAGAAAGCTATATCCTCATTTTCTTGGTGGTGTTGAGGTCAGTCCTGGAGTATTGTTTCCTAGTTTGGGCTTCCTTAGTCAAGAGGGATGGTTGTAAAGTGGAGAGGTCCTCTGTATGGCAACCAAGATGACCAGGGGTTAGAGATTGTGACCTATAAAGAGAGCTATTTATTTAGTTTGAAAACTTACAAAGATGCTGGTGTCAAACTTTCCAGCATTGTCAAATGACAAATAGAGGCAAGAGCCAAAAATTGTAGCTTATGAAGTTCATTCTGGACATACTCTTTTAATGAGAAATGTGCAGGAGTGCAGTGCTGGAAAAGTTGTGCAGCTAAGCTGTGAAATCTCCATTGTCAGAACATTTCAAGACTTGTACAAATCCGTGACTGGCACTCTAGTTTGGTGTTGGTGATGATCTGGCTCCCACTGATAGGGTGGATGGACTAGATGATCCCCAGAGATCCCTTCCAAACAGTGTTCCTGTGCTTCTATGACATTCATCTAACTACTTTTAGATAAACTTCTGGCATGCTTAAAATTGTCCTGAAAATCTCATATTTTTGGAATTGAGGCTGTCATTAGTTAACTGTAAGACAGTATTTCTTAATCCTCATGATATTATATCTCTGTAGTTTATGTGCATTTCTTACTGAAATGCTGCAAGTAATGCTGCAGGGACATAAGCTATACATCATATTCTTATTTGAGAAATAAATGTGAGAGTGAATATTTTCATATCAGTATGCTTTTATCCACACTCATATTTGAAAATACGTATTCCTATAATTAACTATCATAAAACCTATATAAAATCATATAGGTAAGGAGCCTCACAGCTTAGAGAAAAAAAGAGAAAAAAATATATTTATATACAGATATATATAAATATCCAGAGTTAGAGTGAAAGAAATGTATTAAAACACATATCATGTAACAATATCAACATGGTAGGAGTAGTCATAGCTGTAGTGATTAAATATGATCAAGTTTTACAGTGTTTCATCTAGTTCAAATTACTTTTATTTTTATGTATTTTCTAATAGTATATGTTTTATCTCTTTTTCTTAGTTTTGCCGTCTGCACCTGGTCAGGTGGTGGCCACAAGGAATACAAAAACATCAGTTGTAGTTCAGTGGGATAAACCAAAACATGAAGAGGATTTATATGGCTACTACATTGACTATTCTGTGGTGGGATCAAATCGCTGGGAACCCAGTAACCATAAACCTATTAAATATAACAGGTATTGATAATATTTCTGTATTTTTGGGAAGTCTGAAAACTGTACCATATTTTTAAGATATTTTATGTGCTAAGCCATAGGGTTATAATTGAAGAATGTTAAATGTGAAGAAAACCAGTCTGCAGACTCTCAGAGCCAAGATTTCCAAATTGCAGGGAAATTCTCCTCACAGATTTTTGTTTTTTTCTCTGAGGAGAAGTGTATTTTTTTCTATTCCATGACTTTGAGTTTTAAAAGCAGATTCTAGAGACATGATTCTGAGTGTCTTGGACATGAGTAAGTGCAAAATATGCCCTTTTTAAGTATGAATTATGTTGTGGGGTAAAGAGATCTGATGAGGAATAGTATGAGGAAGGAGAGGGAATTCTAAAGCTTTATCATAGTCCATGAGTAACAGAGCAAAAGGTCAGGCCATTTCTGCTATAAATATGGTGGCAAAAGTCAGCTTTGTCAGCTGACACTATTGTGCAGGAAAGCCAAGTGTCCCATTCCAGAAATATCAGAGCTCCCTGATCTGTTACATCTCTTCATAAAGGACAGTAGACCCTGTTTCTATTTCCCTTGTCATGACACTAGCACTGTTTGAATTTCTGATGATTTCTTACTCCTTCCTGAAGATATCAAACTTCATTATGGCATTCTTCAAGAAATTTCCTCTGTAAAAATCATACTTATTTTTTATTGGAATCAATCACCAGATGCAAAGTTTAGATTTGTTGTTTGTATTTTCTATAACAAGCATGTAATTTTGTTTAGTGTATTATGTCAGTCATTAACGGAGTGACTTTGTGTTCTGATGAGTTCTTTTTTCAAGTAGTCAAGAAATTCGATCAAAGAAAAAGTAGAGACCGATTCTTGGTCAAAGTGGGTTGGGAAACCACAAAAACTAAGAAGAAACATTTAATTTCTTCATACGTGAAGATATCTTACAATAGAAGAGCTCTGAGTATTTTATTTAGTACAGTAATTACCTAGAACTTCAGATCAAAATTGAAAACTATTTTTGACAATGACTATAAAACTACAGTGAAAAATATGTTTCCTTCCCAGGATAGATTAGAATTTAGCAAACCTAAATTCAGTGGGAATATATTGTATGTTGTCTGCTTCTCCTGCTAAATCAGTACTAACAAACTAATGGGTACTGTGATTTTTGCTACAGCATCTCATCTGGTTATAATGTACTAAATCATGCCATTATATTGAAGTTTCCCTTTTGGAAATATTTTCCTTCGTGAAGCACTCATTAAGTTGAGCTTTTTAATTGGTACAACAATTTCATGCTACAGCAAAGAATGACTCTTGTAAAATACATCCTAATATGCGATGCTATCTTTTTTAACCCAGGTTTGTTGTTCATGGTTTGGAGGCTGGAGAGCAATATGTCTTCCGTGTGAAAGCTGCAAATGCTGTAGGACTGAGTGAAAACTCGCAGGAGTCGGAGGCTGTAACAGTGCAGGCAGCCCTTAGTAAGTGTGATTCTGTGCAACCCAGCTTCTTGTTTCCTGAATGAGTGACGTGTTTTCAGCAGTCATCTCCTTTGGTCTGATTTACTCTAATTGTATACCTTGCAGCCATCAGGCACATCTATTTAATGATGTCTATTCTCTGACATGTGGCTATTCTGGAGAAAAGGCATTGTTTTATAAAAAAAGTTTTTTATAATGACTGTTAGAAATATTGGGTAAGATGCACTTTAGGGACCAGGTTGCCTTTTGCTCCTAGGCTGTATCAAAGAAATTTATATACTAAGTTAGACAATTAGTTTCTGAGTGACTTTGAGTGGTACAAAGCAGTTTAGCATGGAATCTGCTCCATTTAGAAGAGTTTCAGAGTAAGAGTTTAGAAGAATAAGTTTTATTACTGTGAAGAAGTAATAGAAAACAAAATCCCCTCTGTTTACTCCAGGTTGGAGCGCAATTTAGCTCCTCTGTTGTCCTACAAACAAAATTTCTGTGTAAGATCATTTGTACAACCTTCAGTGGGAATGGTACATGTTGACTGAAAGGTTGAGTAAGTATTTACAACGAAGAGTACATAGATCTGGGCTAACATGGTCCAATTTGAACTAAGGGACAGAATCAGCTCCATACTGAAAAATATTAAATAGGACACATTTTCCTCAGGAGAGTGCCCTCCACCTCTTGGAAAAGACCAGTAAACCTACTTGTGAGAAATAATCCTCTAAAAGATTTATAATTCAGGGTAGTCAATAGAAAGTAAATTTGTATGTTACTGACAAAGTTACTCTATTTGACATTTTTAGGAGGAAGTGTGTCTCATATGGGTAGGTGGTGCATGGACACTTGCACATCTATCCTCACAAAGTTGTGAATGCACTTGCACCTGTTTGTCACTGTGTGCTTTGGAGATGAGGGTTGCATGCGGTATATCACCAAACACAGAGCACGTGGACCTTCCACACACTTGTGGAATGTGTGGGTGGCTTTTATCCATTTTTGTAGCCTTTACCCAAATTTAGTAGGACTATTCATAGATGACTTAACATTAACATCTTTCTGTAGTATTATTTTAAGACTCTTTACAGGAGTTTGCTATGGTCATTCTTATTTACCAAGAAGTGGCAGTAAGCACAAAGGCCACATTTTGCGACCTCTGAGTATAGCACCATATCTGAAAAAAAAATAAAAAATAAAGAAGTATGAAAGGGCAGTTCTGCTGATTACTTCTGCTTTCATAATGATCACTAGTACAGTTACAAGATCAGCAAAGGCCTTTGCTAATGTATTCTCTTCTGAATGAGCTAAGTTACATTCTCTCATGTTATACTGGTAATTCAACTGAAAGTATCAGATCAGCTTTAGGGCAAGGTGTTTAGCTGTACTGTTTGAAGCACCCCAAGTATCAGGAAAGGGGTATCTTTGGGCAGACTTTTATGTATGGATGACAACTGCAAAACTTCTTGCTACAAGGGGTGCTTGCCAGTAGGAGGGGATTAAAAAACTCAGAAAAAGGGTTTTCTTCATCCTTGGGAAGGTGCCTTGGTAACATTTCTGCTTCTGCTATAGGAGGGAGCAAACCCACACAAGTAACCTCATGAAGGACATTACTTTTCTGCCTCATAGGTTAAGTTACTGAAAGTCTAAGTATCTGCTTTTTTTTCTAGGGCAAACAGCAGTCACAGTCTGAATAAAGCATATACTATCAGGATTGTACAGGAAATCTGTGGTGGCCATAGACCAGTCAGTCATATGACTTAATTTCATTCAAGTTTATCATCTTTGTTCTTTTTTTATTGGATGATTTTTACTGTATTCCAGAAGTATTTGAGAAGCTTATTTTTTTCTTACTAGGAAGAGATCTTCTGACCCATTTAAAACTTTTAGCATAATTTTTGGTCTGGAGACGCTGGCATTACTATTTCTCTGCAAAGTTAATCTATTTTTCCTTGCTACCTTCTGAGAGGGCAAAACATTAGGCAGATATTTTAAAACCCTCCTTGTTTATATCTGGTGATAAAATGAATGTTGGTTAGCAGCTTTACAACTACATTGCCATCATTATACAGCTGAGAGCAGTATGCTGCAGAAAACAGAAGCAATATCAAAAATGCTAAGCAACTTCTACACTGCAGTGTTTTTGCCTCTGTCCTAACTCTCAGGTTGTTTATTTCCTTGTAGCTTGTCCTTCATATCCTCATGGTATCACTCTTCTGAACTGTGATGGGCATTCAATGACCCTTGGCTGGAAAGCACCAACGTACAGTGGAGGTTCACCAATCCTTGGTTATTATATGGATAAACGGGAAGCTAACCATCAAAACTGGCATGAAGTCAATTCTTCCCTTATTACCCGGACGATTTATACGGTTAGTATTTTTTGATCATTATATTTTTGGTTTGATTAGAATTTTTTCTTTGGATTTTTTTTAAATGGAGAAATTCTTTAAATACTTACTTCAACAAAACTAGGCACTTCCATTCAGAATGCAACAAGGTTAAACTTGGGCTGAAGAATCAGTGCCATCCCCTACTATGAAATTCTAATACAAATTAGGCCATCCAGATAAGAATTTTTTTTGAGCAAAAAGTGTGAAACACATTTTTCAGAAGTAACAAGATGAGCTATAGGGTGTTCCACAAGCCATTTTTATTAATGATCACTGTATGCATCACCACTATAACAACATACAGACAAAGGACAGAAGCATTTAGCAGGACAGGTAACTGCTCTCTGTAGAACTGGGGACTTATAAATGAAATGGAGATGGGTTGAGAAAAAATTAACTGTCCCTGCTCTTACTTTCAAAATCTGCCTTCAGCTGAAAAAGCATGTATATTAATGAACTCAGCCTTATGTCCTGTCACCTCCTTTACAGAGTACCAGTTTTGAAATAAATTGCTTCTGGTTGCACTTGCAATATATTAAATGTTTCTTAAAATAGGAAAATTTGAATGTGAACTTCCATGAAGAAATGTTAGGGAGATAGGTTATAGCAAATAATCAGTGTGATGCTTTTAAAATTAAGTTAATCAGATTTTATTCACAAATACTTAAAATTATATTTCTGCAAATTTCCTGTAAACCTTAGGACAGAAATAAGTCTTGCAGGTATTTGACACTGAAGTACAAGATAATGATGAGCTGAGGAAGAAAGTTTCATGCATAGATTGGTGGCAGCAATACTCAGGTGCAGGTGTGCTTGTGACATTCTAAGACTGGCATCTCTGATGTAGCAGATGGAGCATGGATGGTGAGAAATAAAAAAGGGTAGGTTGGATAGGCATGAAAAGGCAATACTAAGCAATGCTTTCCATTTTTATTTCTATTATTTTTATTTGTAATGCATTTGTAAACAAATGAGTAATGTAAATTAGGAGCCACCATTGAGAATTTAACTAGATATTTAAGTGTCAGTCCTGCCAATAACTGTATTTGTGCCTAAAGGTGCATCTTCATACATTAGTTTGAATGACTAGAATGTGAAATACTGATGGGAAATAAAACCGAGACAGCTTTTAGTAGCACAGAATATTTTATGACATACTGCAAACAGACAATGCCCTGAGATATTCAGTGCAGCACTGGGAAATCACTAAAGGTCTCACCTTCTCTTATTAAATAATTCTATGGAATTTCCTTTCTCTTAATAACCTGGATTTCTTATAGGCTGATCTTTTATTCTGTCTTGTGGGTCACACTATATAGCTCCTTGTCTTCAGTAAATTATTTCAGTGCCTGACTTTCCTGTGTTACCTTGTTTGCTTTGGTCTTATATTTGAAGCTACCCCATATGTTTGTTACCATAATGTTTTTTATCTTTAAAATTATCACACCAAAATCCTTTTTTATCTCATGTTTTGAAAGATAACTATTTATTCATGAAAACCTAAAACTGTTTGGTATCTCCACTAGAAGTACTGCTCTCAGCTGTCTCTCTTGAAACCTATGATTAAAATATAATTGTGGGAAAATTATTCAGAGGAATCAGGTGTCTAAGACTTGTTTGTTTGTATTTAGGTGCTCTGGAAAAGGCAGGATGGACCAGGGCTGTTGCCATGAGGCATTCTGGGTGTCAAGACATTCATGCATTTTAGTCCTCCATTTTGATCTCAAAATCTGAGATGCTGGTGTGGGGATGGGCTCAATCAATAAGTCAGGGATCATTTACCTGGGATGTTTGCAGGGGAACATTATGGATTCTTCTCATCATATTACCAGTGCTTACTTTCTCACTTTGCAATGGTAGGCAACATTAAGAGAAAGATTCATACAAGACATGAAATACTACTGAAAGTCTCTTTCCTGGAGACACGTGTCAGTAGGTTGTGGAACAAATTGGATTGTTTTTTCTTTTAGTTTACTATAATTACCTTTTCTTTCTAGGTCAGTCCATTGTGACCTTTTAAACCAAAACAGAATTTGAACTCTTGCTTAAGTGAATGGCTTATGAACAGCCATTCACATGCAATGCAAGAAGATATTTCATTGTAGAATACTCACCCATAGTGTATGCTAGTGGTCACTCATTGATTGAGCTCCTTGAACCTTTGTTCTAAACTTAACAACTTTTCATGCCAATATATGAGTGATGTTACTCCTAGGATTATGTGACTGAAACACGGACATATAATATAAAACTCTGAAGTGCATTTGGTTTAAGAGTAAAATCTTCAAATTAGACCCTTCAGTACAGCAGTAAGGCCTGGTAATTAATTAACTAATGTTTATATTCAATTATTAATTTAATATAAATAATGGCTTTTGATATATTGAATTGTTTTCTCAAATGAAAAAAGGTAGAGGATTTGACTGAAGATGCCTTCTATGAATTCAAAGTTGCTGCTGCAAATCTGGTTGGAATAGGTCAACCTTCAGATCCCAGTGAGCATTTTAAGTGTAAAGCCTGGACTATGCCAGAACCTGGTAAGTCTATTAGTTCTTCATGAACCTCAAAGTCCTTAAAACACAGCCACAGAATTCCAGCCAAACTCTGCAGGATGTCTTTTGCTTAATGTCTTCCATAGTACCTATTGAGATTGTCCTTGTTTCTGAGATCTGTTAAAAGTTACCTCCACACCTCCAGTGATGACACTGAATCTCCTGGAAAATAGATGACCTTAGCTTGTTGAGTGTCCCTTTCCTTCACTGCTCTCACCAGCTCAGAAGAAGTTAGTCTACGCTAGAATGAGCCTTTAGTCTATGTTTGTGTCTCTATCACCTCTTCAAGCCCCACAAGCTCCACCTCACACTCCCCACCTGTACAATATCTCTGCACCATAAATGCATTCTATTAAGAATATTCCTGGAGTTTTAGACTCCAAAACTACTTCAGTTTTTGGTCATAAAGAACACATAAGAGGGGCCTGTTTTTGACATAGAGACAAGTAGGACAGACAGTCTTCTACTCTCAAATAATGTGCCCGTGTATTTGTGTTTCTCCTAGATCATTTGTACCTAGGTGTTACCTGAGAGATCATTATTATCCAGGTGTTAGAACAAATGTGCTAACAAACATACAGTAGGAATGGCTGTGTGCTAGTACTCAAACCCTGTGGTTGTCTGTTGTTTGGCAGTGTAGATGTAGCTGAAGACTGTTAATTGCAATTATAAGTACTGTGAATTTGAGACTCTCACCAAAAAAAGTTAAACTGTAATCTAACAAAAAGCAAAAACTGCCCTGTAAAGTTCCAAGTTTAGTTCTTTTAAATGCCCATATTCTTTGCTGAAAAGCTGCTTATGTTTTCCAGCTTAATTCTTCAGGGCTCATAAATCTTGCCATATGAATTTCATTACATGACAAAGCTGTCAGTAACAAAATGGTTAATCTGACCTTAATTCACTTGACTTTAATTACATTTACTCATAATCTCATAATATTTAGTATAAATTTGAATGATTATTTTTCTCAAAGAAATTATCTACGATTTATGCTCTCTACAGTGTTTTCAAAGCACCATTTAAATTATGCAGTGTGTGAAGAAGTGAAAATTATCCTTAATTTTAAATGACAGTTAAAGAAATAAAAAAAAAAGGTGTTTTCAGGAAATGAAGATAGTAAAATTTCCATAATGTACAATCTGACCTTTTTATTGTTTGGCTGATTATGTTGTTCTCATTATGATATGAGTTGAATAGACAGTGTCGCTTTCCTCCTGCTTAAAAAAACATTAAAAGAAACATTGCCCACCCTGCAAAAAACCTCAAATCTCCAAACCTGTTAAATATTTCACAAACCTTTTTTAAAATGCATTTTTAAACAATGGATTAGCAATAAAGAAAGGAAATTGAAATTTAAGACTAGGAGAAAGAGCCTGACCCTCCTCCCTGATTTACTAAAGGTACTGAGGACTAATGTAATATGACTGCAATATACTCTCAGTGTCAACAGAATATTCTTCCACCTTTTGGTATAGAAGGAAGGTTTCCTTCCTTAGAAAGGCCATAACCTTTTGCTAGATTTTCATCATAAGTGATGGATTCTTCACCCAGAGTCCATAATTATTTCATCCTTCCACACAATTTTAGTGGTAGGTATCTCTGTGAGTTTCTCGGAGTCAGCAATGATAGTTAATGGATTATCTTACATTGCTTTAAATAAAAAGAACTGTCTGGAGTCTCAGACTCCTCAGAATAGAACATGCTTCATTACACTTTTCTTTCAATATTTCTATTGGGTCCATTTGACAGTAGAATTTTAATTATCTGTGGATATATAGACATCCGGATTGGGATTTTTAAAGAGCCCTGAGGGAAGGCTTTAGGTTCCTTGTAAATGGCAGTCTTTCCACGAGAAATCTAATATTTATCCTTATAAGGTCTGCAACAAGTATTTAATCTGTTTCTTTTCTGAAATGTATTTACCCACTTTGGAGAAAAACTTTTCTAATTTTTTTCTTTCCCCTAGTATACTTGCTGAATATAATCCTTTACAAATTTTATGCTCATTCATCATTGGTTAACAATGTGTAGGCTGGAATGGCAATCAGATCTATTTTTAAGGTTTTCTACTCCTTTTTTTTATTATTCTTTTAAATGGTAAGATGTGTTGTAAGGAAAATAAATATCTTGAAAACTAAGGAAATCCTTAAGCTGTGAGTTAATTCTTAAGTCTTCAGCTTTCCTTGCTCTACATCTAAAGCAAAAGAAGCCAGCAAGCAACATAATTTGACTGAATATAGAAAACCTATATGATTATGCCTTTACATTTATATTTATTTACTAGTGTAAATAAATATCAAGAGTATAGTAAAAAATAATTTCTATAAATTGGACTGAATGGTGCTTCAACAGTTAGGTGAAGGAGAACTAAAGTATAATAAGAACATGACCTGGTAGTTGCAAACATAAACTCTCACTTATTTGTAGAGTATCAGAATATTTTTGGTTTAAATTTTTCTCCTAACAAGTATCATTCATCCTGACAAGTTCCTCTTGGCTTCAGCTATCCAGTTCATAATAAAAATTCTTCTGGCAGGGAACAAGAACCCTGATCCAAAGTCCCTTGGTGCCACTGGATTTTGGATTACTTTGAAAGATCATGTCTCATGTATACTAATGAAAAGATAAAAATCCTTATGTTAAATTATGAACCTGAATCAGGCACAGTGAAGCAACTTAGATGTGAGGCTGGTGAGTTAAATAATAGACAAGAAGCCTCTCTTGCTTGCTGGAAAATCTTAAACTGCATGGATTTTCCACATGATTAACTTAAATAGAATTGCTGAGATCTAGCTAAGGAAATATGCTTCAGAATACTAATGTCACTCACTGTGTGAGACAGGTATTGCTGTGTACAGCCATGAGGGAAAAATGACCTAAATACCACATATACCAGGTGTATTGTAAAGGTTGAGATTTTTGAAAGCAAATACAGTCAAGATTATAGCAATACATTTTGGCTTCCACAGGGACAGCTTGCAAAACTTCATTATATTGAAGTGAATTTCCAATATTTGAAATATTTTAGGTCCTGCCTATGATCTCATGATATGTGAAGTTAGAAATACATCACTAGTTCTTCTGTGGAAAGCTCCTGTGTATGAAGGCAAAAGCCCTATTACTGGGTATTTAGTGGACTATAAAGAAGTAGATTCAGAAGACTGGATCACTGCTAATGAAAAACCTACTTCAAAGCGCTATTTTAAGGTAACATTTTCATGACTTAATATAAAACTGAGTACTAGAATTTCTGATTGACTATAAAAATATATGTATTTGAACTTCAGCTTCTGCTAATATCTTCATATGAGTAAACAAAATAATTTAGATTGTTTTTTAAATTGGCTTTGTCCTTTATCTTGTTTAAGGTTACTGATTTACAAAAGGGTCATACCTATGTTTTCAAAGTTCGTGCAGTGAATGATGCTGGGGTAGGCAAGTCATCTGAGATATCTGAACCAGTGCTTGTTGAGGAAAGGCCAGGTAAAATGAACTGTTTAATCTCTTCTGTTTCTAAAATACTAAAATACTTAGCATTGAGTTTAATTAACCCAACTTGATATTACATAATATATAAGTATTTAAAGAATTAAGATGTTCTTAGCCTTAAAACATAAAGAAAAAAAATCATGTGAATACAGAGACAGTGATTAGAATTTTTTTCCTTTACTTACTGCAAGAGTTATTTGGTAATCAGTTATTCTGTTTCTTATTCTAACAAAGGTGCTACTTTTTGTGAGAACACATTTATTAACGCTTCAGGAATGATAATAAAATTGATTTTTTTAAACATTCATGTATTCTCATATTCAGTTATACCTTATTCATTTGTTTCTCACATTTATTAGTAATATTATTCCTTTCTTGCATGTAGATTAAGAAATTTACTAGAATATGGTGCTGAGTCAGTATATGACATAAACCTGCTTTAAGATCTGCTAATAGAATCAGTATCTCTTAGGACAAAATGGATGTGGGCTTTAGTAATTTATGAGTTGCACCTTGAAAATAAAAAAATGCAGTCTTGACATTTGAGTTGATTCCTATTTTGCAGGAACAAAAGAAATCTATTCTGGTGTGGATGATGAGGGTAATATTTACCTGGCTTTTGAGTGCAAAGAAGCAACAGATGCATCTCAGTTTGCATGGGGTAAATCTTATGAGGAGATTGATGATTCTCATAAGTTTAAGATTGAAACAGAAGGAAATCAGTAAGTCATGCCAATCTACCAAAGGAAATTAGTAAGTCATGTTAAAAATGTGATACTCAGCTAATTATATTCTTCTTCATTGGTGATTTTAGTTCTAAGCTGTACTTCAAAAATCCTGATAAATCAGACTTGGGAACTTACTCTGTCTCAGTTAGTGACACAGATGGGGTTTCCTCCAGCTTCGTTATGGATGATGAAGGTAAGGCCCTTACAATTTCAAATCTTTCTTCACTGTATTACCTCAAGTGCACTAAAAATTGCCCAAGGAAAAAAAGAATAGAACCCTATGACTCTTACATTATTTCCTATGCATTGAAGAAAAGCAACAGACTTTGTGTGATTACTTATTTTTCTGATTATCATAATAATGAAAGCTGGGATAACTTCAGGCAGCATTTTCTAGCTAAAGATAATAAATATGGCAAATAAGAATTGTTTTCTTTTTGCTGGGATTATAATGATGTTTGTAAATATCCCTTACACTTTCAGTTGTGCTTGGGGCTCTAGATGCAGTTTCTTATAAATGAGATGCAGGAAATTAGTGAGAAAAACTATGATGCTTTAACAAGGTCTTCATACATTGGGTCAAATTATCATTTGGCTTACATATATATTAGTTTGGCTTTTTTGCATTGTAGCTATTTTGTTTCATTAGATTGGCAAATTAATTTGCTTCAGTCTCACTTTGTTTTATCATTGAGAAATGCTGACATAGAAAGCAAAGAGGAAGGTTTGCTATTTCACATAAAATAAAAATTACTTTGGTGCTTTCCCAGTCCTTGGATGTAATTGCTCTGCCCAGTTCCTCAAGTATTAAATTCCCTCTTCTTCTCTTCTTCTCAACCAACTAAGCCATTTAAGGAATCACAGTGTGAAACGTGTTAAACCACCCTTTTGAATCAAGTGTTGAGAATAAATCCATGTTCAGGGAGGAAAAAATTAAAAAAAAAAAAAAAAAAGGAGAAAAAAGAATTCTCCAGAACATGGAAGATTTACGAGCCATTGTCATCGGCTAAGTTTTGAATCATCACTCTGAAGTCTTTCTGTAGGTCTTGTCACCATCTGCTCTACCTTTGAATTTTTTTTTTCTATAAAGCACTGAAGGTGTTTCCCATCCCATACTTCCCTTATGTGTTTTCTGATCATATGTCATTGAAAATCACAACTTTATTTTTATTAAATCCCTGCACAAGTATCAGATTTTGCGTCTTAACACTGAAATTAATTAATTAATTAATAATTTCACTGCCCATTTAATCTCTCAAAAGCTATAAATTCTCCTGTAATTTTGCTCAATTTGCTAAATCTATCATGTCATAAATCCATGCTAATATTCTCTGGTCTTTACATTATCTGTAAATTTGGAATTGGTAATAATAATAATGTTCATTTTCCAAATCTTTATTGGTAATGACTATGATAAATAGGATTAGTATGAAAAACAAAAAAATGGAATTCTAGACTCTCACACAGCCTTAATGAGGATCTAGTGCATTAACTAGAACTTTCTGTACTGTTTTCAGACTAACATGCATTCAATCTTGTTTCCTGTCTCAGTAAAACAAAATTTGCAGGAACAGTCTGAGGAAGGAAGTCAGGAGATAAAGGAACCTGATATACTGCTTAGAAACTATTGTTTCCCATCTTTCTTTTATATTGCTATTTTTTAATTTTAAAATAGCTTTTGTCTTTTGCTTAGATTCCCTTGTATAGGAGAGTGTGCACTAAAACGCATGCAATAGGAACATTTGCTAAATCCATGTTTTCAGAATTTAAGTTTCCTAAATCTTATTTTTCAGTCATTTTCGGAGGAGTTGTGTATTCATGTACAAGCTTTAAGGAGATAACTGCTGATGCTGATATTTACTTTTGTTGACATCTGTTTGTTGTCTGTATTTTTCAGTCTAAATTAAAACATGAAAATTTTTCTCATTTTCAGAGTTTGAACGTTTGATGGCATTAAGCTATGAAATAAAGAATCCAAGTAAGTTGAAGATCTGAATCTATTAGATACTTCTAGAAGGAATATAATTACATGCTAATGACTGGAGTTCCAAAAAGATTCATCCTGAGACAATGGCAACTTCATTTTTCATGGCAGCTTCATTTACCATGGAACACCTTGCTTCCTTGTTCTAGTTTAGAAGAATATTAGTTGACATCCTTCCTAAATGTCTCTGAAGTTTAACTTTGACAATACGTTATAGATTGTCACTAGCCAAATCCTTACACAAGGATTGTAATGTGCAAGCTGCAAATTCTCTGTTCCCTTTAGGAAATTAATTTAATAATCAGCCAAAGGCTGCATTAGAGGACTTTTCCTTGTGTAAAATTTATTTGATACCCAGAAATCTATAAATAATAGGGAATTGCTAGTATTTTACTATAATATTTCTATTTCTCACAAGATTTAATTAACTATTGATTTTTGATTCTTTTCTTTTTGTAGCAATACCTCTGAAATCAGAATTAGCTTATGAGGTTCTTGATAAAGGAGAAGTTCGTTTCTGGATTCAGGCTGAAAGCTTATCTCCAGATTCTACTTTCAGATTTGTTATTAACGATAAAGAAGTTGAAAACAGTGACGTAAGTAGATAATGAGTGCTATACGTAAGTGATTTTGTTTAAGAGAACTGCAGGTTTCTACTGTTATCACAGAATCATAGAGTCATTTAACTTGGAAAAGACTTTAAAGATCATGGATATCAACATGACACTACCAAGTCCACCACTAAAAACCGTGTCCCTGAGTGCCACATCTACTTGTCTTTTAAATACCTCCAATGATGGTGTCTCAGTCACTTCTCTGGGCAGCCTGATCCAATGCTTGACAACCCTTTTGGTGAAGAAATTTTTTCCTAATATCCAATCTAAACTTTCTTGGTGCAACTTGAGGCTATTTCTTCTTGTCTTATAGCTTGTTACTTGGGAAAAGAGACTGATCCCACCTGGCTACAACCTCCTTGTGCAGAGCATTACTGGTCCTCCCTGAGCCTCTGTTTCTCCAGCCTAAACAACCCCAGATGCTAGGGGTTGTGATCCCAACCCTTCACCAGCTCTGTTGCCCTTTTCTGGACACACACCAGCATCTCAATGTCTATCTTGCAATGATGAGCCCAGAACAGAACACAGGGTCTGAGATGTGGCTCAGAACTGAACACAGGGTCTGAGATGTGGCCCAGAACTGAGTACAGGGTCTGAGATGTGGTCTCACCAGTGCTGAATACAATCACTGCCCTGGTCCTGCTGGCCAGACTGCTGCTGATACAGGCCAGGATTTACCTCCTGGGCACATGCTGAGGGTTCATGCTCAACCAGCTGTCGACCAGCACTTCCAGGTCCTTTCCCTCTTGGCCACTTTCCAACAACTCCTCCCCAAGCCTTGTTTTGACCCAATGACAGGACCCAGCACTTGGCTTTGTTGAACCTCATGCAGCTGGTCTTGAGCCATCTATTCCACTTGGCGAGATATCTTTGCAGAGTCTTCCTACCCTTTGGCAAATCAAGACTCCCACCCAACCTGATCCTTTCTTCTAGATCATTGATAAGGATATTAAACAGGACTGGCCCCACTGCTGAGCCCTGAGAACATAATTTCTGATATCCACCATCTGGATTTAACTCCGTTCCCCAGCACCTTGCCCCTGGCTCTCCAATCAGGAGCTAGTACATGCATCCAAGTTATGAGCAGCCAGTTTCTCCAGGAGAATGCTGTGGGAAAAGATGTCAAGGGCTTGACTTAATTCCAGGTAGACCACATCCACAGCCCTACTTACATCCACTAAGTAGGTCACCTTGTCACTGAAGGTTATCAGGTCAGTAAAGCAGGGCCTGCCTTTCACAAGCCCATGCTAGCTGGGCCTGATCCCCTGGTTGTCCTGTGCATGTTGCTTGGTGTCTCTCAAGATGTATCTGTTTCTTAATGGCACTGAGGTCAGGCTGACAGGTCTGTAGTTCCCTGGATCCTATATTTTCTTAATATCGTGTTATTAAGGTGTGATAATACCTGACAAGAAAGCAAATCTATAACTCAAATATTTTTTGCAGTATAGAATTCCTGTTTCAGAGTGAGCCTATTCATACTGGAAAAAGAGTTGGACCCTTTTCACTTTTGGTAACTAGATGATCAACAGCCAACAAAAGGAGAATTTACACACAGACCAGTGTTAAGCAGAAATATTTTTGAAAAATATCTGAAGAAAATGGCTGCTTCAAGTACAGTTTTGGATTCCAAACCAACAAGATGTGCTGTTCCCAAAGACTCTCTGGGGCTGATATTACCAGTTTTATGTATAATGTGGGAGGCACTTGACAATGCAGCAGTGTTCATAGACTTACAATTTTTATATGGTATCACTTTCTATTTTTTTTTTTTAATTTTGGATTAGAAACTGTGCATTGAACAGCTACATAGGGATGAAAGGATAGGCCGCCAGCTTCCTGCATTTTTATAGCTCTAGGAAGACCTCTCATATAAAGGGGCATAAAAAAGCTCAAAAGCAAGGTCATGCCTTTTCAGGTCAAGAGTGATTCATCTACAGGCCATAAGCACAACACTGGAAATATATTCCTGTGAAGATTTCACCTCCAGTGCAGCTGTTTGAAAGATTCAGTTTATTCCTGAGAATGCAGATCCTGGTTTGGGTCAGAGAAGCTTTATCAGCATTTTTATACCATAGAAAGGCAAAGAACATTTACTTTAATTACATATTGACAAGTAGAAGAAGTATTTCTGAGTAAAATAATTCCATTTTTCTTGCTTTAAGAAGTAATAAACCATAGCACTGAAAACCTGAATATTTGTGCCTAGGATGTATTGAAATGACAATATCTGCTGTGGCAATTTTCATGGAACAGAATGAGCTATTTTTAGTTCGCATATGTTTTGGAAGTGTTGACATCAGAAAGGATCTTAAAATGAAGCTGCATTATTTCACCTCTTTAATTAGTAACCTGCAGGTGACATTTATGTTTGGAGACAGATGATATTTTTGTGGAAAGTCACATAAAAGCCTAATATTTATGATGCACATAAAATCATTGAACTTCATCTTGCTGCATAATGGCAATAGTTAGAAGGCTAATTGCACTCTAAAACCTGTCTGGAGACTGGGCTACAGTCACTGAACATGTTCAATAGACCATTATGCTGGTGAATTGTGGCCTGATTCTTGACATTGGCTGAAGTGATAAATTTTTCCTGTTAGGTCGTAAAAGAGAGTGTTTTTGGTAAGATTTCAAAATAAGCTTAAAATGGAATGAACTGAGCCCCATTTACCCAGCTTTAATTTTAATATTTTAATATTTTGTCTAATAAAAGTAGAAAATTTAAAGAAAGTGTAATAAAAAAATAAGATTCAAACATACATCTTGCTCTTTTTTTTAAAAAAAAAAACCCTTTTCTGCTTCTGGCAAAATTTAATTTAATGTTCTCCCTGGGAACTCATGAAGTAAATGCCAGTGTAGTCTTTGACCTCTGAGGAGAGGGGGCTGTAAGCAAGAATTTGACTTTTGCACATAGAAATTTGCATTTTGGGACAGTTTAGGTAAGTTTACTAATGGTTCTTTTAACCTTCCTTACCTATCACTTTAACTCTTACAGATAAACTCTTACACAAGTAGATTTTCTACTTAATTTCCCAATTAATTTAATCTTTTCTTATTCTTTGACATTGTATCTTTGCACTATGTATGGAAAATTCTGTATCCAAATTAACATGCATATTCCTTAAAAAATTATTATCCTGATCAATCTGTTAGCTGACTGCTTTGTTAATTCTACGTCTTTTCTTTTTCTTCATTCTTCCATTACCCCATTAAAAATTAAAAGATTTATATATTTGAAAATGCCAGTATGAATGCTAAATATCTTGACTGTGTGACACTGTTCTTCCAGACTTGTTATCCATACACCAGTGAGTCTGTTTCTGAGGTTGGCCAATATGCATCCCTTAAAGCTAAAACAGATCTATCTGTGGGGTTATTCCTACTACTTTTGGATCTTAAGGGACTTAGAGGTTCTTCCATTTCAATAAGATTTTAGAGAGATGAATAAATAACATTTTTACTAGCTTTTTAAATGTTTCTTCTTTCTTTTCCTTCCTTAAACTTTATCTGTTACTTTAGTACCATTTTTTTATTTTTGGAGACCAATAAAGAGGTTTATCAAAACATTCTATTTATAAGACCTCATGTCTCCTTTTAACAATATGTATAATATATTTAAAAGTAGCAGGGTCTATTGTAAATCACTTCATGTAACTCCTTCTAGATGGTGACAGTTACTGTTCCATTCAGTCGTGACTGGAAGTTAGAGTGTAAAGTCTTTGGCCACATTGTTTGCCTAAAAATGTTCACCAAGAAACTTATGCGGCTTATTTTTATTTAGCTTTAGGAATTTGTTAGTAGAGATTCAAAAGACATCACTCCCAGTGGGGGACATTGTCCTCATAGATGTAACTCACTGAATAAATGAGGATATTAGTAAAACATGGTTGTATCTAAAATAGTACCAGAAAATTCAAAACACATATTTTGCAAAGATTGTCCAATATTAGCTTGTAATTTTCTGTTTCCACGATGCTGCTTGCTAATAATTTATCTTTCTGGAATATTTAATAAAAAGCAAACACATAAAGGGCACAAACAGTGAAAAGCATATTTAATTTTGAATTCAAGTCAATATTTGGTGTTTTGTGTATTCTGCAAACACTTAAGTGGGTAACTCTATGTCCTGACAGAACTGTACTTCTCTTTTGCTGGACTTGGTCAATCCCTTTTGGTTCCCAGAAAATGTGGGGCTTGAACAAGTTACTTTTCTCATTGTCACTTGTTTTAAGTGTTCTTTGAAAATGACACTTAGCATTAAATGAGAAAATCATTATACTCTTCCTAGATCAACTATTTTTATGAGAAAATAAGGTATCCTCCATTAACTACTATATGTGTCTCAGATAATTAGTGTGGATGAGTTTTTGAATTTGGTGTGATGGATTTATTTGAAGGTCCACATTTGTGTCTAGAAACATAATATTTCCAGTTGTTTCTGGACTCTGCTAGGAATAGTGCTTCTCCCTAGCAAACCCCCTCGAACTGGAACCTGTAATGCAGCTAAAGGCTGGCTGTTAGGCTCTTCAAATATGCACAGTGAAAACAATTGTTTTCAAATACAAACCAGCTATATTATGATGACTTGGGGATTCCAAGTGCAGCTGCACACAGAGGTTTCTGTTACCACAGGGATTTCATTGTACAACAGTAAATAAAAGCAGAGTCCTCTTCCCTTAGTTTACAATTAAAAGGACATGAAAAAGGTTGACTGTGGGGGAAGGAATATAAATAATAATTTATTAAATAGGAATCATAAGTAATTTACACTATACTAAAGTTCTTTTCTTTTTCAGAGGCATAAAATAAATTGTGACCGTTCAAATGGCATTATAGAAATGATGATGGAAAAATTTACAATTGACAATGAAGGTACCTACACAGTACAGATTCAGGATGGAAAGGCCAAAAACCAGTCCTCATTAGTTCTCATTGGAGATGGTAGGTTCACTGAAACATTGAAACATTGAAACTTTGACTCTGATGAAGAAGCGAACTTCAATTATTCTTTGAGTAATTTTGTGACTAATTTTTCATTCACCTTTTCTAAAACTTAGCATTCAAGAACGTATTGGCTGAGTCTGAGCTCCAGCGAAAGGAATTTCTCAGAAAACAAGGTAAGACGGAGCAGATTGGTGACTTTAGGCCCAGTTTGCAGCTAATGATTCATCCCTGGTGAATGCTAAGTGCTTGCAGCTTCTGTTCTTTATTAGAAGATGAGTATATTGTTCAGTCTTAGGAGACACTTGAAACCTTGGTGGATCTTATTTTCTAACATGGTCAATTTGTGACAGAACCTTCACTAAGGAGAGAAAAAAGGAGTTCTCACAAGAGGTTATCTTTGCTCAATACTCATGAGAAGTGTGCCTACTGTAGGCTCCTGTCCAACAAAACATAATTGCATTTAGTTTTATGCACACAAGTTGTCTGTTCAATATAATTGATGGAAGAGTAGACAGACAAGTTGTGCCAGAAAAGGAAGATTAAAAGCTTGACCCTATGGTTTCTTTTGATGCAAAATTCCAGTAAATGTATATTTGTTGCATAGTTGCTATACAGTTGTAGAGTTTGTTATATACTCATTATTGATATTGCTTGCAGCTGAATGAGAAAATTACTATTGGATACCTAATTCAGAATTCTGTCCCTGTGAAAATTGAAATTGAGCTCTAGTTTGTAATTTTAACTTGTAAACATTTTCAGGATGAAAATAACAATAATAATTAAAAACTTTTTTCCTAAATAGGTTAGGTAAGATTCTGTACAGAAATAATGTAATTCTACTTTTTTTTTTTAAGGCTGTTTAAAATTTATTGAGGAAAGAAATTATACCACTTACAGCATAAACTGTACCTTTCAGTACTCAATGATTTAAGTTCAAAACTTAGACTTTGCAACTTCCCAGGTTTGGGTATCAAAATTATGGGCCCTGATCCTGCCAGCACAAAGACATATACATTTATTAAGATAAGCAAACACAATAATTAAAAAAGTTCTATGTATGTCAGCAAATATTTCTTAGCAGGATTGGAACTTTAATGGGGAAAAGGAATATTTTCAGTTCTGCCTGTAATATTTAATACACTTATAAACTTTACATTATCACAGCAAACAATGTTTGTCATTGGTTTGTTGTATTTACATTAAATATATTAAATGTAAATTTAATAATTAATTTAATAATAATTTAATTAAATACATTAAATATATCTGTACATTTGTTTGTAGCTACTTTGTTTCTTTCCTTTAATTGGCAATTTGGCACAAAGGTATATAATAAACTAATTTCTCTAACCCACCATTTTATATTTTGGAGCATTACCCAATTCATACAGATGCAGAGATGAGATTCAGGTTTCTAAGCTGTAATGTAGACACTAGGTAAGTATGATATATACTTGTAGGATTTTGCTTCTAGTGCATGGGTGGTTCAGGAGATCCCTCTTGTTTTGGTGTAAGGATATTGTAATTGTCATCCTTTTGCTCTCTTTCACTGGATCTGATACTCTTCATTCTGCAACATTGTTTTAAGATTATTTTGTTTCTTAGGTCCTCACTTCTCAGAGTTTTTGTATTGGAAGGTTACAGAGGAATGTGAAGTTTTACTTTCTTGTAAGGTAAGGAAATATACTTGAAATGATTTTTTAGAATGTGCTGATGAAGAATTGAGGTAGAAAAATGTGAAAAAGGATTCAGATGCCTTTAAAAACAAAAGTTTCATATGAAAATTATTTATTATTATTTGGAAAATTTTAACATTAAAATTTCTGACTTCTTACTATTCTTCAACAGTAGTGTTAATTAAAACAAAGCGAAAATATAGGACATTTCTAAATGCATTATTAGGTGGTCCAATTCCTTGTAAAAGTTTTAAGCCATAAGAATAATTTACACAAAATATACATCCCTTTTCTTCTTCTTCAGAAATAGCTAAAAAAGTCAGAGTTCAAAATCTTTCTTTACTATTTTCTAATTTCTCTAACAAGGCATCTGTTATATAATCAACTGTAATCAAATGTGTTACAAAGACTTCTAGAATTAAGGTTATAAAACATGATTTTTAAATTATTTTTGGTTACTGACTTTTGAATCTTAAATAATGATAATATGTATTGATTTCAGTGTAACTTCTGCTATTAACATCTTTAAATGCCTTTCTGAACAGATAAATTTTCAATTGTTTTGCTCCTCCAGAGTGACTAATTAGAGGTCTGAATAACTAAGTACATTGAATTCAGGCATCAAAGTGTCTTCTTCATTCCCTTTTCCTCTAATATGGACTCTTTTGTATTAATTTTCTCCTCTTCTTTTGAATAACTTTTGACTTATAATTAGACTAACTTGAATCATTCATTATGAGCAATTTACATGCATATTTGTGGGGATTTTTAAAATTTTTTTAGTTTTTTTTTTTTTTTTTACCCTGCTCATTAACTAGGAGACCCTTAAACCTGAGTTATTCCCAGCAGAACTGACCTGGTACTGAAGCTGCCATTCCATGTGCTCCCATTCTAGGGCTCAACACTCATTAGTTAACACAGTACCTTTGCTGAAGTACTTTATAATCTCCACATGCATGTGCCTCAGGCATGAACCCTGCTTATCCTTTCATTCACATGGGGAATTAAATGTTGCTGAACCAGTTATGCTAGTGTTAATTCTCTACAAATTAATCTGAAATTATCCTTCTTTCATTGACTGTCAAGCCTGTTTATAGCACTGAAGCTGTGAAAGGCTGAGCATCTGATTATTTGCTTTTCACCAGTGTGCTTTTTTGTTCACAAGGTCAGAACATTTTATGTAAATGAAATCTAGGATGTGGGCTGCTTGCACACTCATCATTTTAACTATGCTATTGACCTTATAATGTTTGTTACTGTTAGTATGTGACTGTCCATTAGGTTCACATGGTACTGTTGTTTATGGCTGTTTAACTTATATTTGTACATAGTAAGAGTTTGAAAAACAAAGCCTGGGTTTGTCCTTCAGACTCCAGATACCTGACAAACAAGTTTTTTAGAAGTGTGGCCACTCCATGCTATTTCTGTGGTAATAAAAACAATCAAGGAGTAATCTCTGCCATCTCAGGCTGTATCACAACACGACCCAGGTCTCTTCCAGGCTCTCTTTAGTGCTCCTCTGAAAAAAAAAAAAAAAAATCAAGGGAATTTTTGCCTCTTCTAAAAGCTTTTAAGAGGGATAACATGAAGGAAGTATCTGTAAGAGAGGGTGTTTTAACTTGACTTTTTTAAAGGCCATAGTATGACATAAGGAAACAAGGAAACCATGCCAACTGGAAACTTGTGTAGGGCAAAGGACTGACTGTATGATCCAGGCCCATAACAGAAATGATGGACAAGTATGGATTGTGTTATAAAAGAGTATATCAAATATTACCTCACATATCCCTTATTTACTATATGATTTGACCTGACTGAGTTTTCATTGACTAATATTTAACTCTGAATTAGCTGGGATTGATGACCATGTTCTTGGTTTTGTATCCCCTCAATGTCAGTGGAACATGGTTGTCCATCTGAAATATTGAAATAATTTTATGGTGTTTGCTTTTTTTTGCTTTTTGTTTTGTGTTTATTTTTCTTCATATGCCAGCAACTACTGTCATTTTGCTTCTAGTGGTTCTAAATTTCAGAACATTCAGAAGCTACTTGCTCTTCCACAACTTTGGCCCTTACTTGTTCTGTGTCTGTTAAAAGCAAGATTTTTTGGTATGTGGCTAAACAGTGAAAAATGTAACATTTTATAGTAAATGCCAACATGAAATAACTTCAGCACTGCAAATTGCATGTGTCTGAAACTCAGTCTATGTATTGTCAGATTGAGTGCTAACAGTCTTTGATGAAAAATTGTTGGAAAGCATTAAAGGCTTGTTCCTTCAGGCTTTGTTCAAATAAAATTGCCAATCATGTCATAGGACTACAGGAACAACCACTTTGTAGTTACTGGTAAATGTAAAATGCTGCTCACTTTTCTCCAGCAAGTCATTGCTTTGGGCCAAGTGGTGATCTCAAATACTGTCAGAGATCCATAGCAATCACACTGGTTATTAAGCAAGAATAGATGTGATTAATTTGAGCATGTTTGATAGAGATGTCTAGGAATCAGTATAGAGGACCCACCTATCTGTCACCTCCACAGAGGGCTGTCACAGATCTGCTCGTCTGTGGAATGACTTCTCTAATGTAAAAGGGTTAGAAATTGGCAAGTGTTTTTTCCTTCAAGCAGGCCACTTGAAAACTATTGCAGATCTTTATTAAGTTCCTGGCTGCCCTCTAGCCATTTTTTCAGTTTTTCACTTTTTCTTTAAGGAGCCTTTTTAAAGCAACTGCCTGGGGACTGAGAAATATCTTGCTGGCTCTGTCCCTCAACCAAAGCCACAATGACATCGGTATTCAGGCTACACATAAAAATACCATTGCATTTTTATTACTTTTATAAAGGTATGGGGATAGCGATATCAAATAAACCATAGTACTTTTAAAAGTGAGAGAAAAAATAAATAAATTAAAAATTAAATATATATTTATAGCCAAGGTTTCTAAAAAGAGCTGTACTTTTAGCTTCTTTGAATTCACAGTTTGAGGCAATTTATCCAGCAGTATTTCAAGCGTATCCAACATACAGTCTTTATATCAAAATTAGAACAGTGCTTCAGATACAGATATTTAAGCATTGTTTCAATGAACTGCTGCTGCTACGGCAAAATTCTTGCTTTCAAACAACTGCTCTGCGTATGTGCTACGTTTTTGGGAGAGACTGCAATTTGTAGGATTCCCCAGGTCTCTGTATGCCCCATAGGACTCAATGTAGAAGGTAAAATAGAAAAGGATTTTTGGTGCAGTTCACAATTTTGAAGTCTTGGATCCTTTCAGAATAGTGATTTCGGTTGCTTTCTGCAGCTTATCCATGAGTGACATTGCTTAGGTAGCTGGGGTAAATCTCCAAATTGGCCGAAGACTAAGGTAGGGCCTAAGATCTGTGTTACAACTCTCTGGAGTCACAGGGCAAAGACAGAAAGGTAAAGGAGAGTTCAGAAGCTCTAATTTGAAAGATATTTCTGCAGCTATCTCTAGACGAGCTACAAGCACAGAGCAAGGGTGCAAAACCATCTAAGGGAAGAGATTGCCAGGATTTTCTTATAGAATTTTACAGGGCTCTGAAGCTGTAATCTGTATCCTGTGCTGCAAAGAAGCACTGTACGACTGAGATTTGCTTAGTAGGACTTGGTTGAAATAGATTTTTTACTTAGCTTTATTTGAGATGTGTTATAAAAAATATGGTTCATATGTTGAAAGTACCTATGTGACTTCCCACAGTGCAATACCTTTCCTCAGGACATAGCCAGGCTTATGTGCCTTTTCTGTTGTACAGGTTGCAAACACAAAGAAGGAGACTGATTTTAAGTGGTATAAGGATGGTTCTGGGGCTGATGTTGAGGAGCTGCCTGATCTGCAGAAGGGAGAATGTCACCTCAGTATTCCCAAGGTACTGTATCACCTGATGATTACAAATTACAGCTTCTGCTTGACACACTATAGATTTGCCAGACAAAGAAGCAAGCCAGCTATCATGTTTTTTTTGAACAGTTGTATGATAAAAACCTTATTTTCTACTCTTCCAGTGAATAACTATTGCTAGCAAAAAGTATCTGTTTTTGTAGTCAGCTCAGAATTCATGCTTAAGTTCCTTCAGAGTCCTTTGGTGACCTCTATCTCATCCTTTATTATAATCCTTAATTTTTAAACTTGTTCAAGCATCTGATTTTTGACAGTTTTCAATTCTATTGCCCAAAATGAACAAGTTCAAAGTTTATGGCTTCTTAAGATCTATCTTTATGCAAACAGGATAACACAGCTTCTATCTGAAACCTTGCATAGACGCTGCCTTTGTGAAGTGACAAAACCTCCCAGAATGAGATTTTCTGCTTTCAATAATATGCATTCCATCTAAATTGTTTATTTATTGGCTTCATATTCTTCTAATTTCCTTCCTTCATTTCCCTTGAAAGAGGATACTGACTTACCAACCTCATTTTTCTTGAGCAGACTTTTTTTTGGGAGGGTGTTTCTGTTTCTGCTTGTCTCGGATTGCTCTTGTTAGTTGTCATTCAATTTTATGTTATTTGTGCTATGGTTTATATTCTTGCAGATTTTTATAAGTTTAAGTCATCTCCAATCTATATATAAATGTTTATATATTTTCCTTCAAGTCTTAAATGAATTAAAATAAACCCACAAAACCTGAAAATCCCTACTGCCTTTAATGCAATATCACTGTGATAGATTTCAGGATGTAAAGTCTCCAAGGTTAATGAATTAATTATTTACTTAGCACAGATATAATTTGACTAGAATTTCTGCTTGAATGCAAGCAGCATGAAGGAGCTGATATTACAGGATATAGATTTGCTGTTATGATTTACATAATTAGAAAAAAAAATTGTTGAAGAAAAATTACATTTCTAAGGTTTGTGTAGGTTGCAGTTATGCCTTGTTACATCTTACTACAGTGCTTGTAATTTCTACTGACCAAGATCAATGCTGTTTTTTTGGAGCAAGAGAAAAACCCTCATGGTTTTATTTCCTAGAGGAAATTGAACTGAAATCAGAATAGGGTTCGGCCTTAAGAACTGAATGCTAATCTATAAAAAAAAGCATGAACAACTTATTCATAGTTTCCATCACCTCTTTGGTAAGATTATTTATCCAGAAGACAGCACAATGTATGTTGTTTAGAAAATTATGCAGGGGTTGAGCAAATCTAGTACTATCTAGTACAACCAAGTTTGTCAGTAAACATCTTGTGTTTTCCTTGCAGCTGTCTCGCAAAGATGAAGGGGTTTATAAGGCGACACTATCAGATGATAGAGGTCATGATGTATCTTCTCTTGAATTATCAGGAAAAGGTAACATTCAGTCTACTGCAATGGAATAATGATCTCCACATGTTCTCCATAGGTGTCAAAGATCTATCCTTGCAAATGTCAAATTAGCATATATTTTTGGTGTTCTTTGAATTTCATTTCTCTTATGTTATAGAGACCTGAACTGCGGATCAGCACTTTAGGAGGGTGACACTGGGCTTTTTGTAATTAATCTCTAGCATTTTGACAAGCAGGAGATGAAGTATGTTTCTAACTAGACAGACACTCCATTTTATGGGAGATCACTCTCTCTCAGGTTTGTTAAGCTTTAATATCTACAAAAAACCCTAAAGAAAAAAAGGGCTATGTTCATGTGGGACTCTCAGTGGGGACCGAGAGTGCTTTTGATTCTAAATCATAAAACTGTTTTGTGGGTTAGCATCAGCTGGCATCTCAGCTCCACACAGCCACTTGCTCACTCTCTTTCAGTGAGATGGGGGAGAGAATTGGAAGGGGAAAAGCAAAAGAATCCTGGGTTCAGCTAAAGATGGTTTGATAGGTAAAGCTGAGTATACGAGCAAAGCAAAACAAAGAATTCCTTCACTGTTTCCCATGGGCAGGTAGGTGTGGTTGGGGTCAGCTTTCTTGGCTGTGTCACCTCCCAGCTTCCTGTGCACCCTCAGCCTCCTCTTGGTGAGACAGTCTGAGGAGAAGAAATAAAATTCCCTTCCACATTGTACAAGTACTGCTCAGGAACAGCTAAAACATCCCTGTGTTACCAACACTGGTTTAATCACATATCCAAAACACAGCACTATAAAGCTGCTATGAAGAAAATTAACTCTATTCCAGCCAAAACCAGTACAATTTCTGTCCCTTTTTCCACAACATTTATGTCATGCTCAGGTCCCAAACTTTGAAATATGTTCTCATTAATCACCTCCTTGTTTCCTGTCCTTTGATATATATATAGATATAGATATCATTCCCTTGGTCTGTGGATGTGTGCATGTGTATCCTGAGCACTGAAATAAGAAAAAGGTACAGTAGGTCTCCATCCTATGGTCAGGTGTCCTTCTTCCAATGACTATACTTCAGTTATGGCAAACTGTGTTGTGCTTGAAATATAGAGTGAAATGCCCATTTAGAGAATTCACAGCACCTGTGGGCCCAGGAGGCTTTCAAAATGTCTACCAGAAAACCCATGAAAACTGCACTATTAAACCAAATTATTAAACCAAAATATGGGTCTCCTAAATGATGGAGTTAGCCTTGAAACATAAAGGATAAAAAGAGAAGTCTAGCAGGAGCAGGGAAGACTGCATATTCTAAGGGACAGGTTACTTCAGGCTATGTATCCACTGATGTTCAAATTATGTTAAATGCAAATAAGAAAATATAGTCTAAAATATATGCATGGTAGACATTTAAAAAAGATTTCATATGATATCAGACATCACAGTGAGGTACAGCAATTCTGTTTACATTTAATTTTTTTAATGTAAAAAATGTCAGTTTACCTTGACCCTGAGATGAGCTCAGCTGGTTACAGTACAGTGCTAATAATGCCAAGGCGGTGGGTTTCACCCCTGTATGGGCCATTCACTTGAGACTTGGACTTGATGGTTGTTGTAGGTCCCTTCCAACTCAGAATATTCTGTGGTTCTGAGTCGATAACAAGCCCTGATCTGTTGCCAACATGAGTGAATTTCACTTAACTTTGGTGAAGCATGCTTCCCTGGATATATCTGCTTAGATCCCACCAAACAGGCCAAAGTGAATCTAGATTCATCCCAACTGCGTGTAGACATTTGTCACAAGTAATGAGTATTTTTTGGAAGGCTCCTAGCAGATTGAGAAACACATTTTAAAAAATTAACTCAGTTTACCAAAAATCTTATCATTCCTTTTCAACAGATGGAAGAAGTACCTGTAACAAAAGGAAAAGATGAGTATCAGGTGGAGTTCTTAAGATGTGGTTTACTGCAGAAGGCTGTATTATCAACTGATGGTCTCACAGGAATTTTTCTTTTGCATAAATTCTGCCCATTATTCTCTCAGAAAAAAGCCCCACCCTCATTTAGACAGTATGGCAAACATAACCTTACCTCCTCAGGCATTTGTAATGCAATATATATATAATATGCAATTCATAACCTTATGTCACAGTGTCAGTAGAAGCATACTGGAGATTGCTAAGAATTATTGAACTGTATCATGATTTATTTTAGCTGAGACAAAAATGTGCATATACAGATCAATACAGAACAAATATATAAGTTGTATTTTATTTTCTGAATACTCTGTCTTCCATTTTCATAAAAATTCATCAATGTTGAATATGCATCCTTCAGACTTGACTATGCATTCTTTAGACTATGGTGGTTTTTTGCTCTTTTTACCTCACACAGTGTCACTGAATATGATTATTCTGCTATGGAAGGGTTCCCCACTCTTGTGCCCTTGGCTGCAGGGTTCTCTCCTGCCACAAACCCATCAGCTCTGTGATATTTCAAAAACTTGATATGATACCTGCTTTATTTCACTTGCTGTTAAAAGACTTTACTTCTGTCAAATGCCACCCTACAGGGAGGTGAAACTGTTTTCACCAAGAAGGAGATAATTTCTTTTTCACCTGCACTTTCTTTTGAATGTGAGCTATTCAGTTTTAATGACTTTTTTTCTTTTTGCTGGCCTAAGGGAGAGAGACAAAGAGTTTGCAGCAGACAGCTGACTCCACAAAAGGCTGAGATACTCAGAATTCATATGCTGTACACAGACAGTTTCCAATTTGTCCTGTACACCTGTTGCAATTTTAATGGTTTTCTTTGCTTAAGGATATGAAGATTTCCCATATTGCTTTAATTAAACTGAACATAAAAAAGCTATATTCTGATTGAATTTTGATGGTACATTTTCTCCCTTTTTTTCTTTCTCTCTGCAGTTTATGATGATATAATTCTGGCATTGAGTGGAATGAGTGGTAAGTAAAACTGTCTTGAATTTTCATGTAGTTTTTTTTTTATATTTTGAAATCACATGAGCATGAGACAGAAAACTTATATTTTAAGTGGGTAATCTCTAAAAGTCCCAATGCTTATATTATTATGGATGTTGTTACATTTCTAAACAGGCAGTTGACCTTGCTAATTGTCAGTATTAAAAGGGAACAAAGTACTATTCCACCTGACTTCTTTGGTTTAGATACTGTGAAAATGTTGCAGCAATAATTTTCTTCCTAATTTAGTAGGAAAAGTGAACCTTGATATACAGAGAATGAGGTTCTGAATCTGTTCCCAGTGAGAAGCTGTTCCTCCTGCTTAAAGAACAGGGTTTGCACAGGAATAAAATTTTTATGCAAATAGAACTATTACACTTCTCTTTCATGGCAATTATATGACTAGATCATTATTTCACAATGGATCTTGCCAGTCCTGATGCTTGTATATGACAATAAAGTCATAAACTTATACTGAACTTTCACCTGATATAAATCAGCAGGTGCTCCCTGAGGGGTATGACAATTGTCTCTGTAATCCTTGAGAATTGTGACCCAGGTCTTAAATTTTCTTTTGTCCAGCCAGACCAACAATCCATTCCTCTATTTCCTGTTCATTCCTCTATCTCTCATATTTTATCCATTTATACTCTATTTAATCTAGGTAAGTCAGCCTCTCCACTGAAGATTCTTTGCACTGAGGAAGGAATAAGGCTCCAGTGCTTCTTGAAATACTACAATGAAGAAATGAAAGTCAGCTGGTGTCACAGGTAGATGAGAATATTTTTTTCAGTATAACTTGAGAAATAACTGCTGTTGTTTATTATTTAATATTTACTACTTTGTGGCTATTCTAATATTCTATTAATATTCTATTCTTTATTCATTTATAAATTGGACCACATTAATGAATTTTTCTTTCCAAAACAATATATTCTCTTTTAACATAAGAAGTACATAAGGTTAAAGAAATATTAAAAGGCTTGTCCAACACCCATCAGGAGGGCTGTATTAGACAAGAAAAAGGAATCTACTGTATTGTGTTCTTTTATTCAACACAAGATTGCTTGTCTTCTGTTGTATTATCTGACTACTTAAAAGATAGCAAAATATTTGGGAAAAGTTTCTGATACAGGGCTGCTCTTTTTCTAAAATGGATGAAACTCACCTCTAGGTCTAGGTGAATACCAATGATCTACTCACACAGTTTAATAAAAGCCTGTATTAAGAACAGAATTATTTTTTTCCAAAGTGTCACAGTCTTAAGTAATCCAAAATATTTTAATTTTGATATTCCTCTTTGAAAAGATATTCAATGGGGCACAGAATACCTTGAGAATAACCCTCAGGGTTGAGGATATGACTGAAAAAGAGCTTTAAAGCTGTGAACAGTTTTCCATTCTTATGTTACATTAATCTTTTACTTTGGAGACAGTCAAATCATCAGTGTATTTACAGTTAAATATGGGTTTATATATTCTGTTATTTCAAGTCCTTGCTTGTTGGAAAGTGTGAGTAATATTTGAAAGGATTTATCATTTCTTCAAGAGTTTCAACTTTCACATTTCTTGATGGCCTACAAAGATGACACACAGTGAGTTGTTCTGACTTAGACAGAAATAGTCTGGCTTATCAATATGTTGTCCTAGATTTGCAATGCTTTCTATGAAGACAGGAACTCCAACAGGGCATCAATTATCACGTTCAGGGAGCTCAAGAGCACTTCTGCAAGGCCATGCAACTGTATTTATATCTCAGACTTTGTATTTACAAAGTTCTTCTTTCATAATAGTGATACTAGTAATGATGACAAGGAAAAGAAAAAAATATTTGCCTCTGCCTTTTACTGTATCTGCTTGAGTTTTAAAAGTGACAGTCTATTCTACCATCCATTTAATAGAAGTATAAACATAATGAATGCTACATGGCTAATATGGAAATATTGGTGTGCATATTTACATTTACATTTACATTTACATTTATATTGTTTATATTTATATTGTTTATATTGTTTATATTGTTTATATTTATATTGTTTATGTTTATATTTATATTTATATATTATTTATATTTATATTTATATTTATATATTATTTATATTCATAGAGAAATATTTCAGATTTTATTATACCTTACACTTTGATTGTCTTGAAGATCATTGAACACAGATTCTGAATGAATAAAATTTCAATTCTTATATGAATACAATGGCTATAATCAGAGCTGTTAAAGCCAAAAGAAAGACCAAAATCAACTGACCAGCCTTACCCAGCTTCCCATGTCCTTTAAATGGGATTATAACATTTTTTTTTTTCCTGGAAAAATTAAAATGCTACACAACCCATGATTTTTTTTATTTTTTATTTTTTTTACCACGTAAATTTCTAGCAAGCATTTAATTATCCACTATCTTTCATAGCATGAAATACAATACAAGTCCTAGACCTAGACCTAGTATTCATCATCCATTCAGGGCACAGTGAGAAACATTATATGTAATATTTTCTAATATATAGCTGTTTCTATCCTGAAATCTAATTTGGTAGGATGAATTCAATGAAGTTGTCTTAAAGAAAGAAAAATGGTAAAAACACTTTTTCACCATCAAAATAATTCTAGCTATGGAGTCAAATTAGCTCAGTCTAGGCAAATAAAATGAATGATCAAGGAAAATCTAAAACTGACTTCATTTATTAAAAATTCCAGCTAAAGATGCTTGGGGAGGAAGAAGGAAAAGAAGTATTTCTTTAGTTAATGAGTGAAAGAAGAAAGTTCTCTTTGAGCCATTGAAAATGGTCTGGTTTATATGCTGTCATTAAATAGCCTCTTCTATTTCCTCTCTTCGTGACAGACTGTGGATCAGAAGACCACCTGATCTGAATCTGCAGAGCATTTCTTTTATTCTTAACTAGGAAGTGATGATAAGTCAAGCTAATGCCATAGTTTTTTAAAAGAGTTTTTATTACTTATCTGCAGTTAAGAAATTTTTATTGTTTCTTTAGAAAAAACAAAAATGTACTTTCACTTGATGGAAGAGTAATTTTATGGAAATCTTTTGCTAATTGAGTTTTGAAGCTAATGAAAGACAGAAGATTTGTTTCCTTCATCAAAAAATGTGATTTGCCTATGATTTACAACCCTTATGTATTATATTTTACTGTGTATGAAGTGTACAGAACTCTAAGCACTTTCACACAGTTGTGTGTGTGCATGAAGATGTAAGCATAGCTCGGTGTGAGGAGAGGAGGATGAGAAAAGGGTGAACAAATGAATCTTAGAAATAAAAACACAAGCAAATATTTTCAAAGTGTTTTGTACTCCCACTCGGAAGCAGAGAGTATTCTGGAAGAATGAGCCCATTAGTCACACTCTCTTTATAGCTTTGGAGCATTGTGTTATCATTTGTGACTTTTTACAGATGATTTCCCACGGACAACATACAGGAAAAGAATGTTCAAACTCATCTTTATTAATTTTTTTAAAATTTTTTTTGCTTTTCCAGGGAATCTAAGATTTCTTCTGGTGAAAAGATGAAGATTGGAGGTGGAGATGATGTTGCCTGGTTGCAGATAAGTGAACCCACTGAAAAGGATAAGGGGAACTACACATTTGAAATCTTTGGTGACAAGGAATCGTACAAGCGCACGCTTGATCTGTCTGGTCAAGGTATATTTATTTATAAGATCAGATTTGTACTGTGCCTTTTCATGGATTATGCAGATTTTACTGGAAATAGAGGAATTGCAGTAAAAACAGATAGTCTTTGATCAGAAGCAGTCATAGCTAAGTTTTATAACTGTTATTATCTTTTTAATCTTGTATCTGTTTCCAGCACCAGCGGCATTAGTTTTCAGGGCTCTGGTTTCTCATTGTGCTACTGTGTGACTGTACAAGTTTTAAAAGATCTGTAACATGGGTATGTGTTGAAATGTTTATTAGTGCAAGTTATGTCCATGGAAGATAACCCTCTCAATTTCTTTATTACAGCTTTTGATGATGCATATGCAGAATTCCAGCGGCTCAAGTAAGTGCTGCATCCTTTGTATTTTAATGCCATAACAATAGTATCTTTTTTATTACAAAAAAATATTTTATTGTTAATTTAATCAATAACATTATATGTTTTTCTTTCTTTTTCAACAACTTTAGGGCAGCTGCTTTTGCTGAGAAGAGTAAGTTTATTTTGCATTTTATCAGAGGTGTTTTACAATGTAGTCGAGTATTCTTTTTAAAACATCCATGATGACATGCTACCATAACTTACTGAGTTCTGTGGCTAGAGAAATCCTCTATTGACTCAAACTATTGCAATAACAATAG